ATACTGTGAAGTTTGCCGTAGGGCCAAAATGACAGCTAGGTACCACAGAAAAAGGGACCTTGAGGTAGACCCGGAAGAGGCTCCACCACTGCATTTTGGCCATCAACTTCGTGCGGACCACATAATCTTGGGGGAAGATCTAACAAAAGGGTCAGAGGGGGAAAGGGCATGTCTTGTTTGTTACGATGAGTACAGTGGGGCTTTGCAGGGGTTCCCTCAAACAAATAGAACCACTGATGCTAACATCGCGGCACTGCAAAAGTTCGGCGGGACAAGAGCGCATGGCAAAGCCTTGTGCAACGTCAAAACTGACTGCGCCACAGAATTGGTTGAAGCGGTTAAATATCTGGGTTGGTTACCTGATCCGGGAATCCCGAATGATGATTACCATAATGCCAAACTAGAACGCATCATTAGATCCATCAAAGAAGGTGTGAGGTCAATCCACCTTAAGGCAGGTTTTTCTCATGACTTGTGGCCCAGAAGTGTTGAATACTTCTGCGTAGCACGTAGCTTTAGCACTCTTGCGCCAATACACCCTAATGAAAAGGATGAGGTCAAGACGGAAAAGTCCATGCTTACATGCTATGAAGCTGCAAATGGCGGTTCGCCATTCACAGGCCTGAGAATTCCGTTGGGTGCCTTGGTCTATTATAAACCCCCGAAACATAGAGAATTGCCAGCGTTTAGCCCAAGAACTTTTCCTGGTATATTCGTGGGATGGAGGGTTGATGCAGGGTTTGTGCATAGAAATGTTCATCTAGTCCTGGACTATGAAAACCTCCGAACAAAATCAAAAGGGTTTGGCCGACCTATCCAAGTGTATTCCACAGAGTTGGTTGAACCATCCGAAGGGAACTTTATTTTTCCTCTGTATGAAGCATCGGTTGCAAAGTTGAATCTGTTTCAACCTTCAGTCAAGTTGCCATCCATTGCCGAGCGAGAAGCCTTGCCTTTCGAAGGGCCAGCCCCGCCTCCAGCTGTTCGCAAACGCAAGACGTATGTGACACTGGAACGTGCAATTAAATATGGTAAAACAATTGGGTGTAAGGGTTGTGACCGTATTGCTGAGGGCGTTCCTCACTCAGATGCTTGCCATGAAAGGTTTCGCACTCTGTTGCAAGAGGATCGTATGGCCAAAGAAGCCTCCGCCAGGGGAATTTCAGTTCCTGATACGCCTGCACCAGACACGCCAGTTGGAGCACCAAGAACTCCAGCAATGCCGTCAGCTGAGCAGGGTGTGAGTCGCACTTGTGCGCCACATCCACAAAACTCCTTGGAAGTCGAAGCATTCTTTGCCAGTTGCCACGCCGCACCAGGGGTGCAAGACCATGGGAGGAGCTCAGATGATAGTAACCCTGGGGATTTTTGGGAATATGATGATCTTAAGTCAGCATGGAAAATGAATCATGTTAGACCCCGAAAAAGACTCTATGCTCCTGTAGGCAAGGACTGCCCTTTCAGTGCAGATGAAATCGGTCCACAACGTGTCACAGAATGGAAATGCAAAGGTGTTGTTTCGGTTTATAAAGATAATTGGCAAGTACACCCGCACCAAAGAATTTCATCTAAAAGTTGGATTGGAGCGACATGGTTTTTCCCAAATAAAAGGGTTGACTATGATCATGCGAAAGTAAAAGCATGCCAAGCCAACATAGCCAGATCCGATGGGACCTCCAAAAGGTTCGCCAAAAGGAGTGAGCATTTCTTAGCTAGTGCCAGCCTGGATCACCCGAGTCTTGCTGCTGAAATCCAGCAGGCTGCCAAAGGTGTAGAACAGGTTAAGCCGTCCAAAGCTAGAAAAGCCAGAGGGTCAAACTCCAAAGTCATGTTTGAATTTTGTTGTTCTGAAGACTCCGCACTCGGCAAGGCCAACGAGGAAAGAGACATCGATCACTTCCGTTTGACAGAAAAGTCTTCGGACATGGCAGATGATGAAGAAGTACAAGACTTGCTGAAAGTCATGAAGTTGTTCCCAGGAGCAGACCTTTGGGGTTCAATTCCTTGTGGCCCTTGGTCCCGCTGGCAGGACGTGAATCTTGCAAAAGGTGGTAAAGGGTATGCAAAGAGGCTCAAAGCCGCACGTAAGAAGTCCATAAAAATCCTGAAAAACTACATTCGCTGCGCAGAGCAGGTTTTGCTAGATGGAGGACATGTGTGCTTTGAGTGGCCCAGAGGATGCTCTGGCTGGTCAATTCCAGAGCTTGCGAAGTTCATTAAGAAGCATGATTTGTTTGTCGCCGAGCCAGACGGATGTGCATTCGGTTTAAAGGATAATGAGGGGAAACCCCATTATAAACCTTGGAGGATTGTAACAAGTTCGTATCAGTTGGCAAGAAACCTTGATGCGTACAAATGCAGTCATCCACCGGATTTCAAGCATTCGCACCTAGCAGGTTCCAAAACACCCAAATCTGCATTCTATACTGATGAAATGGCACAATGCATTAGTCATTCCTTGTACCCCGAGATAGTACCTTCAATGCCTGTTAAACCCATGCAGCCAGAACCACATCACCAGCCGACAGCCGTTGAAGTTGATGCAGGTATCCACCTCCTGATCGACAGGAAGGACTGGCACAAGCATGAAGGTTATCTTGATGCAATCAAGAAAGAACGGGATGGTGTCTTGGAGAATGGTACTTGGAACTATGATGAAGTAGTGCCTAGAGACGAGCTCATGAAACGCAAAGAGCACATCAATATAGGTAGAATCATGACAATTCTCTCAGTCAAACATTGGGAAACCCCAGCTCTTAGGAAGCTTAAAGCCCGTATAGTGTTTAGAGGGGATGACATAAGGGACAATGAAGGAAATCTTGCGGTTTTGTTGGAATCAAAAGTAAACCCTACGGGTATGGCTGGCATCAATGCCAACCTTGCTTATGGAAGTTTACCAGGCCACAAAACAACGCAATCAGATGTTGTCCGTGCTTACCTTCAATCATGGTTGGGAACAAAAGTACCAACTTGGGTAGAGCTAAGTCCTGAACTGGTTCCTGATGAGTTCAAACATATCAAGCGACCATGTGTCAGACTATGGCGGTCGTTGTATGGCCATCCAGAGGCAGGACATCATTGGGATATGAGGTTTAGAGAAGTCATGACATACTTTGATGCAAAACATATCGATACCTTCCAAAGTAACTTCTGGATCCCAAAATATAAACTTCTGTTGAGTCTTTACGTAGACGATGTAATGGTATCAGGACCCTCATCACAGCATAAGCTCTTTTGGGATGAAATGCAGCGCCACTTGGAGCTGGATGAACCAGCTGAAGTCAGCCGAATTCTCGGCCGAGAGCATAGCATTTCAAGAAGCAAGGAAGGAACAACTTGTGCCTTCGAAATGACCGAATTCATTGATAACTGTTGTGAACTGTATGAGACGCTTAGCAAACGTAAGCTAAAGCCAGCAGCCTCACCATATGTCAATGATGGGAGTTTAACTGATTCCGATTGGGATGTCAAGGGTTCATTGTCAGCAGAAGCATCTCGCATACTAATGAAAGTCTTGTGGTGTGCCAGATTGGCAAGGCCTGATCTCAATAAAGCTATCTCAGATCTTACACGTAGACTGACGTGTTGGAGTGTCGCAGATGATAAGCGCCTCCATAGATTAATGAGTTACCTTTATGGATCTAGAAAGTTTACTCTCAAGGGTTATATAAGGGACCCACCAGAGTTGTTGCGTTTGTGTTGTTACACGGATGCCGATCACTGTTCTGCACAAGAAGATGCTAAATCAACAAGCGGCATGATCATGACGTTGGAAGGTCCACATTCATGGTGGCCACTCTCATGGGCTAGCCGCAAGCAGACGTCAACTGCACGCAGCACAACAGAAGCCGAAATGGTGTCGCTAGGTGCAGGTTTGTTTCTTGAAGCGCTGCCAATGCAAGAGCTCTTAGAGACGATTCTTGGTAGACAGGTTGAACTTGTGTGTTATCAAGATAACTCCGCGGTTATCCAAATTGTTGCTGCCGGGTATAGTCCCAAACTCCGACACCTCAATAAGACTTTCCGCATAAATATAGGTTCAATCCATGAAGTCTTCAAAGAAAATGACGATTGCCTGTTGCTCTACATCAAGACTGCAATGCAAAGAGCTGATCCGTTCACCAAGCCACTCCCGGTGGCAAAATGGCCGGAAGCTTTGCAACAACTAAATGTCCAGGTATCTACGTAGTCCATAATCTTCCTGTAGGTTGCCTTATGTGCAGCCAGTCTGTCTTGTCTGTCTGGATGCAAGGATGAGATGTTTTGATCTGCCATCTACAGAGCCATTGGGAGTGAGATGCACTTGTGCACCGCAACCATTGGAGTTCTCTGTGGCAGCCAGGTCATCACACCATCCAAGTCTGTACAGGTGTCCAACGCCAAAAGGGGGAGAAGAAAGATTACGAGTAATATGCCTCCTCACGTAGTGCAGTGTAGTGCAATGTAGTATCACCAACAAATGCTTCCATAGCAATCAATGTAGACTGGAATTCATAACCATTGCATGCGGTCATGTTAAAGTACACTAGACCCAGGAATCCAGTTTGCTCGAACTGACATTAATACATGTCCACTTGTTTTAACTAATTCATTCATATGCCAAACATCCAGTGGTCCAGGTCTACAAATGTATACCATGGCCAACTGTTTGGCTCAAGATCGCATTGCCCGAGGTAAAAGGGTTTACGTGGTTGAGCCAACTGATTCTTTGAGAATCTTTTAATACATAACATAATATAGTATAATATGATATAATACACAATATAATATAACATAACAAAATATAATATAAGATAACATAACATAATATAATACAATATTATGTATACTATATCCCAACGATTGATCCCCTCAATTGTTTTTTTTTGCGTGATCAAGATGATCAACCAACTTTGACCAGACGTTCTTCAAGTTTTGGATGACTGGCGGAAGTTGGTAAATGGTTACCAGTTGCCAGGTGGGGTACCAGGTGGGTTACTGCCCAGGAAGCTCCGGTTGAGGTAGTGCCCTTCGTCACGGCGCAGTCCAACGCCCAGAATTTGTCACTTTCGGGAGAATGGAAATGTTGAAAGCAAATGCATAGGATTTTACCAGGCAGCAAACGTGGTATGTTTTGACCATCCGAGGGTGTTGGAATTGTCAATATTGCATGCACTCCAGATTCTGAATCAACGTTTCTTTGTGTGTGCCAGTGCATCTATACAGTTCCAAGCTCAGCAACCCCTTTGCTGTGAAGATGGGCCGCCGAGTGGGACCTGCTGCCCTGGTGTTGGGCGCCCTGGCATGCCTGTTCTGGGGCCCCAGCTTCACAGGAACTGTGGCGAAGAGGCCAGAAAGCGCAGTGGTGAGGATGGCTGCTTCCAAGTGGGTGAACGAGAAAGACCCTGACATGTCCCACCCCAGCGGCCTCTACGTGCTGCCCATCAAGCCAGCAAAGAAGCAGGAGAACTACATCTACACCTGGAAGAAGGATGACAAGGGGGTCATTCAGGACTACATGAAGGTACCATATGACAAGCCCGAGCGCGCTGCGGACTACTACACCCAGCGTACTCCCAATGGCTGCTGGGACCACTGGGGCAAGAGCGGCGAGGGCGAGGAAGTTTGAGCTAGGCAACTAAGATGTGTACATTGGTGTAGATCATCTTTTTGAAAGACCGGTGATCAGTTGCATTCTTTGCGCACTTAGATGCTCAAAGCATTTGCGAAGGAGTAGCTGGCTACATGACGGTTGCAACAAGAGCTTGCGGTCAAAATAGGAGTCATGATGAATGCTCTTTGTGATGTCTCAGGCTGTGTTTTCTGATACACAACAAGCTCCAACTCCCCAAATTTGCGAGTCGTGTTTTGCTGTTCACATGTAGTTCAGTAGAAGTCAATCATGTGCTTTGAAGCTTTGAACTGTTTAAGCAAGACTCTGTCTCTTTCTTTGCAAGCTTAATCAGACATGAATCATGCTGAATCTCTTTCAAGTTTTCTGCTCAAGGGTTCCCCACGTACTGCCTTTGTTGTGAAGATGGGCCGCCGAGTGGGACCTGCTGCCCTGGTGTTGGGCGCCCTGGCATGCCTGTTCTGGGGCCCCAGCTTCACAGGAACTGTGGCGAAGAGGCCGGAAAGCGCAGTGGTGAGGATGGCTGCTTCCAAGTGGGTGAACGAGAAAGACCCTGACATGTCCCACCCCAGCGGCCTCTACGTGCTGCCCATCAAGCCAGCAAAGAAGCAGGAGAACTACATCTACACCTGGAAGAAGGATGACAAGGGGGTCATTCAGGACTACATGAAGGTACCATATGACAAGCCCGAGCGCGCTGCGGACTACTACACCCAGCGTACTCCCAATGGCTGCTGGGACCACTGGGGCAAGAGCGGCGAGGGCGAGGAAGTTTGAGCTAGGCAACTAAGATGTGTACATTGGTGTAGATCATCTTTTTGAAAGACCGGTGATCAGTTGCATTCTTTGCGCACTTAGATGCTCAAAGCATTTGCGAAGGAGTAGCTGGCTACATGACGGTTGCAACAAGAGCTTGCGGTCAAAATAGGAGTCATGATGAATGCTCTTTGTGATGTCTCAGGCTGTGTTTTCTGATACACGACAAGCTCCAACTCCCCAAATTTGCGAGTCGTGTTTTGCTGTTCACATGTAGTTCAGTAGAAGTCAATCATGTGCTTTGAAGCTTTGAACTGTTTAAGCAAGACTCTGTCTCTTTCTTTGCAAGCTTAATCAGACATGAATCATGCTGAATCTCTTTCAAGTTTTATGCTCAAGGGTTCCCCACGTACTGCCTTTGTTGTGAAGATGGGCCGCCGAGTGGGACCTGCTGCCCTGGTGTTGGGCGCCCTGGCATGCCTGTTCTGGGGCCCCAGCTTCACAGGAACTGTGGCGAAGAGGCCGGAAAGCGCAGTGGTGAGGATGGCTGCTTCCAAGTGGGTGAACGAGAAAGACCCTGACATGTCCCACCCCAGCGGCCTCTACGTGCTGCCCATCAAGCCAGCAAAGAAGCAGGAGAACTACATCTACACCTGGAAGAAGGATGACAAGGGGGTCATTCAGGACTACATGAAGGTACCATATGACAAGCCCGAGCGTGCTGCGGACTACTACACCCAGCGTACTCCCAATGGCTGCTGGGACCACTGGGGCAAGAGCGGCGAGGGCGAGGAAGTTTGAGGGTGAGTCTGAGGTCAGTGAATGGTTGTGAACGCCTGGAGCAAAGTTCAGCTAACAGAGGCTGATCTTTTTAACTGAACCCAGTTGAAGCTGTGCAAAAGAAGATTGGCTTTCTTCCTCTCACGAACGGCACGCGTGGGATATTGTGGAATCATGCTGAATCATGTTGATATTTTCAAGGGTCAGTCAGAAATACTTAGTTTCACGAGCAATTATGTAATTATATAAATTATATGTGTATATATATAATTATATATATATACGTATGATTATATATATATATATATTCGGGGGTAGCATATATTTACGTACACAAAAAATCCGGACATCGTGAATCCCCCATTTTTTTCGTTCAAAAAAATCAAAATCTGAGCAGTGAAGAGCTCATAAATCAATATAAATCATACAGTTACGTGGATGATTCTGGAAGTGAATTGTTGTTTTTGATTGTTTTTGCAACTGAAAAATATGATATGGCTGATATGGTGAGTAATCCACTTCGCAACTAGCACTGAACTTCGATTCCAGTTACGAGCCGTTGATCCTGGCATGAAATCATTATGGATCCACTGACCGTTGGCATCCCCGCTTGTGTTCTGGTGTCCAGTCCACCCAAGTTGCGCAGAAAAAGTATCGCCATCAGTTTTTCCAACCCACCAGAGCAGTTCGTGCAACTGTTTTTCATTGTTTTTCTGATAAGGACACTGTCTCCCACCCACAGACTGTGGTCATAGAAGGTTTCAACATGTTTTCGCTTACCCCGGATTTTGACACAGATCAAAGATTTATCGGGGATCGCAGCTGTTGACCAACTGAGCCCTTGCCTCGCTGGTGCATTTCTTGCTTTACGGTGCTACTCGAGCAAGACATGGCAAGGCAGGTCATTGGATAGGCCATGTGCATGGCGGCCATGTGCTTGGCGTAGGATTTTGCAGATTTTGAACAACGAGTTAGATCAAGGTCACTCAATGTCACTCACAAGCACGATGATTGACAGTTTATATTGATTATATAATATAATTGATCCAAAAGAGTAGAATTCGCAAAGAACTTGCTTGCAGCTTTATTGTAAAGAGATCACAAAGAAGCTTTGGCCACACCTCTGCCATTACTTGGCACGAAACACAAAGTGGCTATCTTCAGCAGACAGATCGTTCGAAGCCATTTCCATGGCGGTCCATGTCCGCTTCTGTTGGATTTACATTGAACATCCCCCGTCCCCTCTCTGGGGAAAGCCTTTAACAAATGGTACACTAGCCATGGATTTGATGTTTCTGCAGAGATGTCGTCATGGAGTTTCGCTTCGTTAAGTGCGGCATCCTTTTCGCAGTGAGCTGGTTGTTTGTCACATCCTTCTTACTTGCATGGTTCTTCATTCTCCCCTGCTATGTCAATGGTCCCCTCATCCAGTCTGAAACAGCGTCGGCACAGAGCTCTTTCAAGAGCCGAGAAAGCGAAAGCACCGAACGCCCAGGGCTGAGGGGAAGCAAAGAGACTGGTTGGTGCCATGTTGTCTTTTTGTTTCCATCCCTAAAAATCATGTTTTCGGATGATCATGAATTTTACCTCTTGTTGTTTTGAATCTGTCCCGAAGCACAATTGGATTGTGATCCCAAATAGCTACGCAGCTACCCTCCATGGCTGGAGGGTAAAGTGGCATGGCTTCATGCTTCAACTACCAGGAGAATTTGGACGTCGCCATAGATTTCAACAGCAGCAACATCTCTGCGCCAAGTGCAGCAAGTTCTGAAGTGAGCACTGATGCGAACAACACCACTGTGCCTGCAGAACATCCGAGGAAATATGCATATGTGCCTGGTTGGATGGTTTCAGACTCTAATGTGATCCCGGAAGTTAATGGTTCATGGGTTGACGGACTTTTTTGAATCCAGTTATCCAGAACTCACTTCAGTTCTGGGATCATCCCAGTGGTTTTAGATAACTTGTCGACAATTTTGCCTGAAAATCATCCGGACAATTGGGATCCCGTGTTGGGCAAAGTTGATCCTCCATCATCCACTTATAAAACTGATCCATACCCACAGATCACCAGATAGCAACACTACATGCATACATACATGCATGCATGCATGCATGCATGCATGCATCCATACATACAGACAGACATACATACATGCATCCATGCATGCATGCATCCATACATACAGACATACAGACATACAGACATACAGACAAACGGACATACATACATAGATACATAGATACATAGATAGATAGTCAGATAGATAGATAGATAGATAGATACATAGATAGATAGATAGATAGATACATACATACATACATGCATACATACATACATACATATATACATACATTATATATATATTATTATATGTTATGTATATATTTGTATATGTTATATATGTAGGTATACCCATTCTGCCTATCTATTTCTCCATCACTCAGTTACGGTGAAATCAGGTTTGGTATTCGGCCAACAGCAGCAGCGACATCGCCTGCGCCATTCTGGTGGCTGCAGCCTCGGTTCAGCAGAATGGTTTGCGTCCCGATACGGATCTGGTGGCCATCTGGAACCGGGGTGTTCCCGGCATGGAACGATTTCAGAAGATGGGGATCAAGTTGATTCAGGTGAAAGATTCCTGGATTTGGATGGATTTGGCGCAAAACACCAAAAAAACATGGGGATGGGTCAAGCTATGCAGGACACACCTAAACTTAAGAATGGTTTACCATGAACTGACACAGTGAATCTGTGGTTTCGTTGTGCCTGAAATTTTGAAATTCTCAAAGTATGATTGAAAGATTGGGGATCCCAATCGTCCAATTGGAGGTTCGCCATGTTTTGCAATGTTTGCTGTAGCTTCATCACTTGTGCTCACCATATCCGTCCAGGATTTCCCAAAATTTGGTCTTAACCTTTTGAATTCATCATTTTGCTGCCATTTCTGTCATATTTGAACCACCAGTGAACAGTGTTGGATTGGTTTCCCTTCGTTCAGATCCTGCGCGCAGAGGATCCGGTGTCCAAAGGAAAATTCCAATGGACCTATTCCTTTGTGAAGCTGCGCGCAGCTGAGCTCTTCCAATATCAACGGATCATCTATTTCGATGTGGATGCCTTCCCGTTGCCCGTAACGAAACAATAAGGACATTCTGTGATATGGGTTCTTAGATTGGTTCATATCGGTTTATATGGGTTTATGTAGATTTGGGGTTGGACATGGTGATACTGGGTGGACATTTTGATTTTTAGTGAAGCGGCTTCCACTTTCGCATGATCTATATATGGGCCTTTAGTTATGAAGTTAAGAATATATAGCTTGGGAATTTGTATTTGTCAGGTTTTACAAGCCATTTCACATCATAGATCGGCGAACTTCAAAGGTTGCAGCGTGAACATTGAGGCTTGCATTCAATGATTTCCGTTCTTGGAACTCTCGACTTTCAGGTTTCAGACCATGCAAGTTCTGCTCTTTGGACCCAAACAAAGGAAAACCATGGAAAACCCAGCAAAATTTCCCATAGACTTCTCCAAAACCTCGCCCAAGTTGCCAAGGTTGGCTTCCATGGATAACTTGTTCGAGATCGCCCCATTCCCCGTGGAACTGGCCGCTCCACGCGCCTACTGGTTGAAGCAGCCGCTGGTGCAAAGTGGTGGTCCCATGGTGCTCGATCCACGACAGATCTTCTACCAGAGGGACTTCGCTAAACCCATGGAAGGCACGCGGGGAGGTTTGGGTATCCTCCAAGCAGATTTACCCTGACTGGTTAACCCTGACTGCTTATGACATGTTGTATGACTAACACTTTGCCATGGTATAGAGTATAGATAGTATAGATGGCCCATAGAAATAGATAGTTTACTGGTTTACCGAACTTAAAAATGGTGGATCTTTCCATGGCGAACTGTTAGTCATAACCAGATGGTATATGGTTTGACTATGTTTGACTTAGGATTGATTTCTTGGGGAAAGCCTGACAGGTTTTCCATATCGATGTGTTGTTGTTGACTGGTAACAAAGGTAACCTTCAAACCTTGCCCAGCAATCGGACCGAGGCCAGGGGCAATAAACGATATCTTACATTCCACCTGAGTTTGGGGAGTCACTGAAATCATCCAGATTGCTGAAACCGGATGCTGAGCGCTTCTGGTTGTTTTTTAGGGAGTTATATACTCCATTGTTGGGGGATACTGAACAACAAATACTGAGATTTCAACAAAATGGAAGGCGAGGGCCATGGATAGCCAGAATGGCCAGGGGATTTGCTACTGCAGATGGAGTGATTTTGTTCGTTTGGACCACCAGTTGAAACGGATTTCTCCTAGAAATGTGAGGTGTTTGCCAGAAATGACTGGGACTGTCCAACATGCCGCCCTTTTGGTTAATTATGATTATTCGCAGACACTGCCTTGCGTATGTGGAGCAGATGCAAATCAGTTGGTTATGCATTGTTCCATCAGTCAGGGATGGGCAGGATGGTTTGTAGGAATCATTCGACAGGTATGTTAGGAATCTCCGAACCGGAGACTGTGAATCAAACAGCATAGGTTTCTCCCGTGTCACAACGGGTCAACACGTTTCTCCCGCGCAACACGTCAGGTTCCATGGGATCTCTCGCTGGTGAAATGGACTGGGTCAACAAACACTTCATTAACACCGCCTCTTGGAGGTTTAAACCTACCCGACCTGGTAAACGTCAACAAAAAACGATGGAAAGATCCACCATTTTAATCCATTTTATAGCTGGGTAAATCCACTTTCATGGCCATTTTCAATAGCAAACTGGCAAACTGTTAGTCATTACCAGAGGGTATTTGTTATTTTCTATCCGATCTGGAAAGATGATGAATCAATTGGTGGTCATGACGTGACTCATGTCATCATATTTCATCCACTTTGGGGGATGAAAAAACTTCTGACCCAAAAAGGTTTTTGGATCATTTTGTGGTTCAGCCACTAGGTCTTTGTGTTGGATGGTTTTTATGCTCTGCTGATCGGCGAATGGTGCGGGGTGGATGGAGCCTATCGCTACTGGCAGAAGCACTACGAGGAAAGTCCTGAATGGGTCAGCTGGCATGAAACAGCCGGCCTCAGTCTCCAGTGATGATGGTAAACTTGGTATAGTATATATAATTAAAAACCGTAAGCAAGGTACCTACCTAATTTGACAAAGATTGGGATTTTACAGAGGCTAAGAAAAAATGCTGATTCGGTTTACCATGGTCCCATGGTACTTTCCATGGTAAAGAAGAAACTTGTTCCTTTGCTATGAAGTTTCTATGTTCCATGGCGTATTGGAACATCCCCAGTCTGCAAAGTCTGCCAGCCATAGTTTTTCGACAGACTTTCAGCCAGCCATATTTGATTTCTCGAGGCATGACCCAAATCTACCGATGTCTACCGGTCTTTGGGGTTTTGCCAACCTTCCGAATTTGGATTTATCTTAATTTGCAAAATTATTGCCCTCCCATGTACAGAGATTTATCATGATTTATCAATTCCTCAGCATGCCGATGGCGGTATGGCCAGTCCATGAATCAAAAAAAACATGGGTGCACTATTGGACTACTATTGAAGCACCCAATAATAAACATGAACTAACATGAACATGTCATGGAAGTGGTGTTACAAGTGCTACAACTGGGGATAGCTATGGTCATGTGGCATCGAGGTAAATGACTCACGACCAGAATCTGAGTCCCTGGGCCTTACCTTTTGACCCACACCCACGTACTCATCCCAATTTACACATCCATCCAATCTAATCTTGTCTATATCTATATATTCTACATGATCTATATCTTCTATACAATCAACATAAGCAACATGATCTTTACATTCTATATTATCATCCATATAACCTATACATCTATATAATCTAGACAACTTATAAAACTTACATAGCTTATATCTATCCAACCCATCCAATCTGCCTGTCATCCAGGTCTTAAGACAGGCCGTGCTGGTGCACTTCATCTCGGACTGGAAGCCCTGGTTGCTGACCAGCGAGGCTGCCTTAGAGAAGCGCTGCATCAAAGCGCAACCGTTGCTGGTCCAAAAACTCACCAATTAATTAATGGGAATATGATGGAATATGATGGAATATGAGTATACATACATAATTACATATAATGATATAATATAATTAGATGATATATCGTTGGGATATTTGATGAATATACATTTATGTGTAGCCAACCGGATGATATTCAAAGATATTAAGATTTCCCATCATTGTTTCAAGTCAAACTCAACAACTATGAGATGCACAGTCCAACAATTGAGCTGGTTACCTGGTACAAACAAATTCTTTGCGACTTTGCGAAGTTTCCATCTCAGAAATCTCATGGGTTTGTCCAAAAAAGGGAGACACCTTCGGTACCACCATCTTTCTTCTAAAAGTGACCATTTTGGGATATCCTTCCATATCCCAGGCAATGTTTCAGCACATCTTTCATCCCAGGCAATTGTTGCAGATCTACCAAAAATGGTGGGATGCCAAGGAAAAGTATTGCTGAGAGATTGATTATGTGAACAAAAAGATACGATGCCTGGAGGGATCTGCGCAGAGAAAAGCCGCCGCCTTGATGTTTTGCTGATGTTGGACGTGTCTTCAGACTGTGATATATCATGATCCCACTCAAAATAGGGAGATGACCATTATACCATGTGCTTTATGTGCAAAATGGGCGTCAAAATTTTGGAACCCCAACCGTCCACCATTTCATGATCTATTTTGGGAAAAATGTGGCCTGGTGAATTTGTGACGGAGCATGTCAATCTGGATGGTCTTCCTGGATGTCACCACAACAGACATGCCCATTTGGGTCTATTTTGGGTATCAAAGTTATTGGCTTTGATTCAAACATTAGATCCATTATTTTTTTTCAGAGTTAGATTAATCAAGATAGTAAAATTAACCATTATATACATCACATATATATTATATTTATTTATATATATATATATATCCGGAACAAAAACATATCGTTCACCAGCTCTCCATTTCCTCCAAGGCCTGGAATCCTAGAGGCCTGTTTTGTGTTTTTTTTTTGGTTTTTGGGGGTGCCGTTGTAGAGTTTTTAAGGGCTTCGTTACGGTTAGTTAATGTTAATCATGGATGTTGAACTAGATATATCATGATATATCTAGTTGGATACGAAGATTATAGATTCAAAAAGAAGTTCAACAGGATCTTTCACCAAGAAAAATAGGGATATTACTACTATTGAGCGGGTTCGATGGTAAAACTGGAGCTGCAACGCACTTTCAAGTTGTCATGCGCACACAGCGTTATGTTTTTGAACAAAGGTGTTTGGCCATACTACCCAGTTTATCTCAACCACAACATTGCCAACATTGGTTGTATAGCCACATGTCATATTTCGATCCGGGTTTTCCACGTGTAAAAAAATCATCTGCACTATTGCTAGTTGGTTCTATCCCTTCATTATAACTATAACTATATTGCCATTAAATCACATTCAAATCAATCCCATTCAAACACATTCAACATCATATTCCCATGAAATCCCCATTAAATCCCCATGAAATCCCCATGAAATCCACATCAAATCCTATTAAATCCCATTAAATCCTATCAAATCCACATTAAATCACCATGACATCCCCATTTTTCCACCATTTCCCAGGCCGCCCCGGCCGCGTGCGTTTCTCGCTGCCCGCCGCTGCCGGTAAGGCGCCGGCCGCAGCGCTGCCCACGCGGCGCCCCAGGGAGGCCCTGGGAGGTGCCATGGGAATCCGACCCCAAAATGGGATTTGTTTAAAGGAATTAATGGGGATTTAATAGGATTTAATAGGATTTAATGTGGATTTACTCTGATTTAATGTACTTTAATGGGATTTTAATGGGATTTGAATGGGATTTGATAGGGAATCACCATTTATGTCCTATTTTGTGTTCGGTTTTGGTGTTGAGATTTTGGAACCAGGCTGGGGATGTCTGTGAATGAGGAAACTGTTAGTTTTTGGGGGAACTGTGGGTTGGATTGCGAGAAAAAACATGTTTGAAAGAAGGGAGTTTTTGAGCAATAAACACAAATAACACCTTGGAATTTCAATGATCAGAGAAAACCAGAAAAACATCTTCTCCATTGTGGGGTTGAATAGGGATTCTCGTTTTTTTGTCCAGCAATTGGAGTTTCACACATGCACTTCTTTGTGCTCTGGTAGTCAAGGCTGGCACTGGAAAATCCACCATAGCCATCATACTGGCTGATATTCCTAGATTCTATGGCGAAGCCAACAATCCCCAAATAAATGGACAAGTTTTTTGTACGGCTCATTGATATTAAGTTGGGTTTACCAGACTGAGAGGACATGGATCAAGTGATTGATTCGTTGAGCTTTTCCAAAGCTGGACAGCTGAGGTCATCAAACTGCCAGGAATCTCATGGATGTCATGGAGTGACGGCCAGGCCACTGGCGGGCAAAAAAAACACTCTGCAGACCACGGTGAGTGAATGGTTGGGGGTTTAACTTGGTGAAAGTGGGGATTGAACCACACAAAAACGGGATGTAGTTGGATAGAATTCAGTGAATGGTTGCGAAACATGCATAGTTTTTCACATATTCTGATGGAAGACCTTTGAGATATCCGAGAAAACGTGAACCTTTGTGCAACTGCGGCCAAGGCTGGCCATTGGCACCAAACATCAAAGGCTGTAGCTTAAATTTGAAGACCCAAGGTGGCGGCAACAAATCCAGTTCTGTGAGCCAAGTGCATGAAATTTTGTTCGTCGTCGTCGTGAGAATCCGTGTCATTGCTAAGGGACGCATGGAATGCCCACTATGCCCCAAACCACCAAGTCATATTGACTTCGCATAGAAAATCATGGTTTGCTTCCAAGTGAAGTCCGGATATCTTCTAACCTTGACTTGGTGGATACACATTTTTTTTCAAGGTTATCACGACTTCTTTTACTGGTGTCGCTAGTGACTGGGATCTTTTTGCTACTTGGCTCTCAACCTCCCAGCCGTGAATGGGCGGCGACAGCAGCCCTAGTGTGCCGAAAGCGCAGAAGGTTGGAGGATTCATGGCGCCACTCGGCGGATCGATCGTTGCTGTCAGTGAAATTCACGGCATTTCATGGCATATTTCATGGTATCATCTCATGGTATCTCATGGTATCTGATGGTATCTGATGGTATCTGGGGTTGGGAATGCCGCCTTTCCTCTTTTTGCTGGCTCTTGATGTTGGGAAATGGCTGAAATTTCTACCAGGACCTCAGGATGATACGTCTGAATCCTGGGAGTAAATGTTTAGCACCTCTGTTGTAAGCCACTCAATACATCTCCAAACCAGTTATCTAATAATCTTATATAAATGGCTTAGAATCCACTTACCATCCTTCAACCTTCGACACCTGAAAACAGCAGCACCTAGTGGCTTGAGCCCAAATTCAGGCTGTGTCAAGAAACAGATTCAGATGATGGCTTTGATGAAGGTGGAAGTGGTTTCCGGTGGTAGTGGGAGCTGCTTCAATTTTCCAGACGTAGATAGGGTGAATGGTTGATGGAGTATTTTTGTTGCCATTGTGACGGAGTAATTTAAGGCACCACAACGGATTTTTTGCGATTGGCCATGACGTATATATGTGCCATGCGATGAGATTTTCCATATATTTTTCATCATATTTTGCAGTGTTGTGTCAAATGCCACAGTTATTTAGAGGATACCACAGATTGGCCATCATATCTTTAGCTATTGCCTATTGCCCGAACAATGACATGCCGATTCTTAGCAGTTCTTACCCGTGTATCGTTTGGCAGCCTGCCGGTACTCAAATTTGTTTTGGTACAGTTTTGGACATGTATGTGTTCAACGTAAAACTAAAAGTAATGTTCCATCATACATCTTCCTGGAATTCAGCAAGTTCAGTTTAGCCTTATCACTTGATGCATGCATATATGTAATTACAAACTCCATATATATATATATATATATAGACATCTAAATATATGTATATTATCAAAACATCTATTTATGATTATTTATGCACATGTATGTATATATATATATCATATATGTGTATGTATAAGATAGCCATAGAAATATGGTCCCGACTCACCTGATCCGCTGCCGCTGGCAGAATCCACGGATCTGGAGGGAGCTGAGCCGTCACTTACCGAGAAACTTTCAGCCAGCGCTGTGACCGACCAATTTGGGGATGGAAAAAAATGGTAGACTTCAATCAATGGCCATTTCAGGAACCTAAATTGGAAGTACCTACCATATATAAGGCCTATTTTTTAGGGAATATCCATGAATATCCCAACAAAATATGGCCTGAAAAATGGTACAGTACCTCCATTTTAGGATCTTGGAATTCCCATTGATTCAACCAACATTTGGATTCTGGTCATGAAAAAGAGATGTGGTTGTCAGGTATGGAAAATGCAGACCACTGAGAAAATCAAGCAAAATCGTTAACTATGATGATTGGAGATGAATACACGCACATACGTATACGTATGTATGTACTGTGATCCCCTCACAGAAACGGTAGTAATCTTTTAGTCTCACGCCTCAGACAATTTTCGGGGACCCAAATTTGACCTCTGCCTCAGACAATCAAATAACATGTGAAGAGAACTAAGTCGGATGACGAAGATGGGAGAACAAAAGATCACAAGGGTACAGAATCAACAAAACTTGAGGCATGGCACCATCATGGGGATCAACCTGAAATATTGGGAACACCAGTTGTCACATATTTCATAGGTCACTGGGTCATTGATATTGGTATTATGCATATTACCCTCTGGCTATGTCAAAATAGCTATTGAAAATGGTGGATTTACCCATTGAAGACGGTGATTTTCGATGATTTTCGGATCTGAGGATCCTGCTGGATCAAGATCCACCACCTGTGCGTGGCTTGGCAGATCGACCATGGCCGCCGCCGTGGCGACACGGGTGCACTTCGGGGTCTGTACATGGGTACATGGTATAACACTGGTTATGACCCCCATAAGTTGAGATATACATATATATATAATATATAATATATTATATATATAATATAATATAATATATAATATATATAATATAATATAATATATAATATATAATATAATATAATATAATATAATATGATACCATATTATATTATACTATATTATAGTATAGTATATTATATTTATGTATATAGGTATAACCTACTACTAATCTATGGCCGTAGATCCACTAAGGTGAAACTGCATCCTTCTTAGAAGGCCAAAAAAAATTTTGCACAACGCTTTCCGGCAGAAACCAAGCTGAATCCAACATCTGAGGCATCCTCTTGATTGCCTTCATGTTTATGTTCCAGGCCGGGAGACAAGCCGTTGGAGGGCCGTTGTTTTGTTGTTTTGGGTGCAGTTTAAGTGTCATTGAAGCACCGTTTTCAGTGGACATAGCTGTAGAATTACACATGTTCCTTCTAGCTCCAGATCTGGAGGCATAAGTTGTTAAAAAAAAACCCTGCAGACACCATGGCATTGTCAGGATATTCCTGCCCGCTATGCTTTGCACCCTCCTTTTTTTCTGCATGAGCCCCAAACGGTGGCGCCAAAATGGATGCCATTGCCCCCATCAATGCATCAAATTTTTCATCATTGGTTACCTTTGAATATCTCCCCATCAAATCATATCAAATCATTGCTCCTGTCTCTCTATGTACTGTAACATGTTGTAATTTCTTGGCGACAAAAACGGATTGTAGATCATTGCGTATCATTGCGCGAATTTCATACAAGTTCCGGGAAGTTCCGGTGAATTGTAGAGTCCTTACTGCGGGGTCTAGGCATATATTCAGTTGCGTATCACGCAACTGATTGCACATGTTCCCTCATAGATGGAGCCTTCAAAATTCTTCCGACAATTCTTGGTAATCACTTGGACGTCCTTCACTATTCATAATCGGCAAATTATCAGGTCCCCAGCCGTGCAATTCGCGTATTCATGGCGAAACTAATCCAAGTTAAGACAGGCTCCATGTTTGTCCTTTTCTTTCAGAGATTGTTGGTATTTGTTGGTTGTCTAGCAGCCTAGCAATTCTCATTGGTTGACCCTCCATTTTAACGTAGGCGACTCCAAACCGCCAGGGCTATGGTTGCATGGTGGGCGCTCCACAGCATGCCCTGAAGACCAAATTAGGAATTGAGCACAGCCAGGCTGCTGCCTTTCAGGTGGGTTCCGTTGAAAGGTATGGCTTTGGTTCAAACTAAGACAGGTAGATATGGGTAGATATGGGTAGATTATCCAGAAACATGTAGATTCCCCATGATTTCCCCAAGATCCACTGGTTTTGAACATTTTTAAACCTATGATTTCCTCCAGGAATTTGGCCAGCAGCCTTCTTATGGGGTGGAGATGGGCGAAGAAACAGATCATTGTCGGCAGTGTACTGTATCTTAAGTTAGCGATGGAAATTGGGGCTTAACACCAGAACTTTTCTGATTTTTGGAGCGCGACCGTTGCTAACTCATTTGCGATGACTCGGTCATTAGGGCTGTGCACTGAGCGGTTTACTGGCTGGCAGTTGACCTATAGATCGACACGTGTGAAGAAAAACACAGCCAATCCTTGCACTTTCAAAATGGCCGGAGATCAGGTCAATGTTTTGTTTTCTTCAAATCGTTTCTATTGTGCCATGTTTGGAAGCTGTGCATCCATGTTTTCCTGTCTCGAGCTTCCCCCAGTAGATGAACATCCAGCCACTCGGGGACTGAACCAGACTTGAACAGTTTGGATTGGATCCTGCAAGTGCTGTGTTTGCCCAAGGATTTTACCAACAAACATGTGGTGTTTTTTCTTAAACAAATTGTTTGAGAACACTGGGGATTGAACCACCTTATCATCCTTATTAGGTCCTTATTGTTTTATAATAAACCCCCTTTATCCAATTTTCACCCGCATTTTTGCCACTGCAGTAACGTGGCGCCAGGAAGCGACCGCGAGTTTTCAACTTGCCAAGTTGCTGATGCGAGTCTGTGACTGGGCGCTGATGGGTGTAGATGGGTGTAGCATGCGGCTGCCACCAAAATCATGGCAAAATCGTGGCAATTTCATGGAATTGGCATCACAAGTTTTTGTGGGTGGTTGATCGTGGTTGATCATGTTGACATGTGCTCAGATGCTCCAGCAGTTTTGATGAACAAGTGGATTGACGAAGATCTGATATCATGCACAGGGTACCGCGGCTGAGGTCAAATAGCCTTTTTGGTTCTCATGGAGCCTTCAGGTAGGTCGGGGATGGCAGGAAGCGATTAGGGTCAAAATGATCAACCCCAGATGGTTTCCGATCCTTAGAATAACATAGAACAACCATGAATAACCATGAACAACCAGTTTTGTGGGTACATTGAATATCATTGTACCATATTGTACCCACATACGACTCGATCCCCGTAGACAGCCGTAGCACATCAATGGGACACTTGAGAAACTATGAGAAACCATAGCCACAAATCGCATCGTGGAACCCGGATGAAGCGCCGGAAACGCCATGGTTGATGGTTGTCCATGTGGATTCTCCGGATTCCCCCACAAATCGCAGGGAAATCATAGCACAAAGTCCTGCTGTGTCTTCGCATGTCTCCGCTAGTGCCAAGTGGAAACGCGATAAAAATTGGACACGGATCAAAATTGAGTACCTAGGTGAACGTACTATTCTTTTGAATGTGGGAAATGGGTCAAGATCATTCAAGATCAAATTCTCAAAACTTTGGTGAAAAGCTTTCCGTTCATTTTACGATACTCCTTGGCCCCTTGGTACACCAGGTATCGTCTACATGGCCTACGTTTCTTGGAGTCAGATGGCGGACTGGTCATTTCTATCGTGAAACCTGACCCATTTTGTGGGTCACCATTGGAAGCCACAAGGGATCATTACCATTTCATTACCCATATCTGGTTCCTGAGAGTGGAACGAAGCGACCGGGTCGTCTGGATGTCCTTTTGGTGAAAGAGTCTGATGGCAAGACGAAGTGGTTCGACCCTCCAAATGCATGGTGCACGAAGGTGCCTGCCATGGTGCCTTACGATATCATCCAAGCATTGGACAGCATTGGTTTAACAGTTTAACATCCCTCTTTTTCTCCGGGTAACGTCCCAATGTTTCTTGATTGAATACCCATTGCTGAGCTTTTCTGTATTGGCCCATTGGTGACCAGTCGAATCCCTGACAACCCTGTTTGGATTGTGAAACCATCAAAAGCCCAAAAACAATGAACAACCATCAAACACATCAAACATCAACAAACATCAACAAACATCAACAAACATCAACAAACATCAACAAATATCAACAAATATCAACAATGGAGTATGACTCCAATTCTTGTTGAGTTAACACAAGATCCTTAAAGCGTCAGGTGGTGATGTTCTTTGCCCTTTGGGTCCCGGTGATCTTCGTTTGGGGCGCTGGCGTCACCGGCCTTTGGGTGGTCTACCTGCAGTGTCCCGGCCAGATTTCATCCAAATATGGGCAAAATACAGGGGGTTCAACTTTTGAACATAGGACTTCAGCTGAAAACCCATGAAAACCCAACTGGAATATCAGAAATACCATGGGTATTTGACAAGTGAAACCATGGAAAGTTACTTTTTTGCAGTACGCGATTTAAGCTCCAAGAATGTCAGCACGGATTGCAATGTTGATCAAGAGAGAGGCGATCATTCTTGAGATGGGGAGAGACATCAACACACTTTTGAATGGGAGGTTTGCAAACCATCTTTTTCACTTGCATGAATCTCACATCATTTTTTATCCACCCTATTTATATTCAGTGATGCCCATGTTGTATCGTGCATTCAGTTGTACTCCAAGAAATCCATCTCTCCATCCATTTCAAATTCCATTTCCAGAAAATCTGCATTTGTCCATGTTGAATGAACTTTGGATGGTTCTTTACAACCAAGAAAAGTCAACTTCATTGATCCCTTCTCCATGTATCCATGGCATTCAAAGTCACGATTCCCACCATACGAGAGTTGGTTGACGTTATTACAGGAACCCCACATTTGGATGTGAAAGTTGTGGGGTTCCTGTGGTTCCTGTCGATGTGAATAGGAAATCAACAGAATCGTGTAGGGTCATTGCTTACTTCTTAGCCACTCTTCATGGAGAAATATGTTCATGCAATCGCCGGCTATCGCACTAGAATTTTACTTCTCATCCACTTGTTTGTTTTGAGAGAATTCGATTCTCATCCAACTATCCATCCACGAATTATCTCAACTTAGGAACCTCAAATATCCCACAAATATCCCATGTATATCCCATGTTTCGCGTCCCAGGTACATCTTGGGAGGTGTGGCCGTGGGCCTTTTTGAAGGAACTTTCCTGAGCGTCATCAGCTCTCTGGGGAAGAACACCAAGACCTTCGCCATCATGGGTGCCTGGGAGGTTTCCTAATACCCAAATAGTTGGAGGGTTTAGTGGGAAAATCCTATCAAAATATGATTTTAAATGATTAAACATGGATGATAAGATGGGTTAATTACCCCCATTTTAGGAACCCTCCATATGTGTTTTTTTGGCAAACCGGAGAGTGATTCTACTTTGCTCAAGGAGCTGTTGAATCAAGAAGAGTTAGGAGTTCCAGAACAAAGTGGGATCAAACATGGTGGGTAAACCTGAACAGCTGGTTTGTATGGCTTACCTGGGCTTACCTCATCCTGTTCATGGAGGGATACATATGATATCATATGATATCCCATTAAAATAATCATTGTTTTTTTCAGAATATCTAAGGTTCAAATATGAAAATTCTGAATTTTGGCATCGTGTTTGTCCATTTTTTGTAGATGGAGCCTTGAGGCACATGAGTTATTCCCAGGCAAAACCACCTGCAGGGTTCAGAAAGGGATCAGAAAGATTCACAGCCCTGAAATCGACCCTTGCTGAATGATAGATTTGCCAATATTCACGCCATTTTGTAAACATAACTAAAGATTGAAGTATGTGGTCTTGGCATGGAAGCCGACAAGTGAAATTTCTTACAGTACTGTAAATTGATTCGCCACGCCCGATTTTTGTGGTTTACTTGTCGGGGGTACAATGCACAGCTTGAAAGAGACGTTGAATGAAACCAGTTGTTCCAGTTGTTATCAAGCACTGGATTGTTTCGAACTTCTTTTCCCCATCTCTACAAAAGAAGTGTAGCAACTGGCTCCATTGTTTCCATCCCTCATTGTTTGGGTTTCCTATCGCCACTCGCTGTGTTACACCGCAGCTGTTACCCCAGTGCGCCACGGCAACGCGGCAGTCGCCATGAAGTACTCTTATTCCACACACCAGGTGGGACAACTGTTGGCAACGAAGATTTTGGATATTCCCCAAAATGGATAGAATACTCCTAGCCATGGTCAAAAATGGGTGGCCACAAACATGGATACTTTACTACCACAAAAAAACCAACCATGGATGTTGTGCCCGAAAAGCATTAACGCTGGAGTTGATGCTACCCTGAAATCTGGCTGGTTCTACTGCCCGAAATATCAAGCAAGTTTGCTATCAAACACAATGACCAAAAGTTGCGGTTTTCTACTCACGTTTTGAACCAAGCGATAGACGTGGTTTTCTTCCCAAAAATACCTACCCTGGATTTTTCTGCTACCAAAACACAACTATGGTTTACTAAGACAAAGAGAGCCAGAAGATGGATCATGAAGCATCATAAGAAAGCTCATCTGTCTTTTCCATGCCATCCATCCCAACATCCTGAAAAACATCTTGAAAACTATATGAAAAACATAAAAAAAACGATCAAATTTCAGCATTTCAGCAGCATTTCAGTAGCATTTCAGTCCCATGTTCCATTCATTTTCCTGGTTTTCTTCGCCAGACCTGGTGTACTCCGAGCCCGCCGCAAAGCCCCGGCGGTCGCCTACCTCCGCGGCGCCGTTGTGCGACGGAGGTGGCCACGGCGATGCACGAGACGATCCCGGCAGATCGCTGGTGCGTGACGTGGGCAGATCTGAGACTTTTCGGTGGTTTTTCAGCGTGGCGAAAACCCTGGTGAAACTAAGGGTTTTAACGGTTAAACATCTTATAACCCATGACCCATAACCCATGATAACGTCCAAAATCGCGGACTTGGGTGATGGTTTTTACTGGAGTTATACCATAAATGGCATCTTGAAGTCAAAAAAAGAGGGATTTAACCATCAAATATATATTGGGAATGAAGCATCAACAACTAGGAGTTTGAGTATCAAGAGTATGAATTTCACCAAGAAAGGTTGGGAATTATTAAGTTCTGAAGATTGGGGATTTTAGTTTTGAAAACTTGGGGATTTACGCACGTTTGTGGATTTGACATGCAGATTGAAGTCCTAAAAGTTGGCAATCTGAGTGCCAAGCATGGGTGATTTAAACATCTTGTTTCAAAGATAGGCTTTTCAGCTTTGATATGTTGTTTTTTGATCCTTGAAGGTGAGATTAGGATCGTTAAACTCTTGAAATTTCTGAAGACATCGAAATTTGTTTTCCAAGTGTTAAGTCCATAAGTTGGGGAATCTCTTGGGAACATGTTTAGTAAAACATCTTTAGCCCAACATCGAACGGTTGATCGTGATTTTTCATATCAAGATTTTTTTCTTTGGGGGTATACCGGTATACCTAATCTTTTGAGACACACGCAAGTATCACATTCTTGTTTAGTTCTATCAGAAGTTCTTTCACTTATCAGTTCTATGAGTTATATCCCACTATATCCCCATGGTTATACTCCATGTTTGGTAGCCATTTTTCCAGGGCTGTTGTCAATCGCCCAGGAAATATCTGCGCAAGTCCGTGAAATCTGCCATCCGGAAGGAGGTCATTCAGCCACCGGAAGATGGTCGCGATGACTTCTTGATGGTGGATGAGGTGGGGCCCTCACTTTCTGTTGAAATCAGTTGTTTTGTAATATATATATACATTCATCATCATATATATTCATTATCACATATATATATATAATATATACATCAATATATATATATATGATATATATATATATGGTAAACAAACAACCAAACTGAGATGACAAACTCATGTTTCAAGCAGATTTGGAATGATGATCCGTTACTGGAGATCTGTGGAGAATCACCATTGAACGGACCCACAGACGACTGCCATATTTTGGATGTGTAAATCATGTCCTTTTGGGGTCCACAAAGCGAGTGGATCCATATCCAAATCAGCCATTTCGCAGTCATATCTCAATTTTTTTTGGCAAGAATCTCCAAGTTATTGGTTGTGTTGAACAACTTTATTTGGTCTTTCATTTCTAATCCAAAAGTCCTTAAATCGGCGGTTTGGGCTCTTGGACGCTAGGTTTATGGACCCAGTATTTACACCGTGAATGAGCAGTACATCAAACCCATCACCCATTTCCATGGCAAGATGAGTTGGGCCCTGATGCGCAACCCGGCGGGTTTGGACTGCGATATGTTCATCAGCCACGCATGGCTTGAAGGAATCTTCGAATTTCTGAGGAAAGTGCTGCACAGCTGGCCACGAGGTCAGGGATTACTGAAGGATAAGGATGTGATTTGTTGGGGCCTGGAGAATCAGCAACTGAAACATCAAGGGCATGCGAATTGAACCATGAAAAATATGGGATGGGATGATCTTGGAGACAACATTTCGCACCTGTTTGGAAGATCTTGATGATTCTTGATATGAACCGGGCTACAGCTTCCGAATTGATGATTTGACTGACGTGGGTTGTCTCACAGTTGGAACCCCATTCCATCATATTCTATCCCATGCTTAAAGACATCATTTCCCCAGCTGTAAATGGCTATGAATTATGAAGACATCCTCTCTTTTGGGACAACCCCAAATTTTGAGGTTGGGATGAGCCAAAATTATTGAACCCCAAAATGAACACTTTGATATTCAAGATGATAAAATTTAAAGGGCCCATTGGTACCCTATGACTCGACAGGTGTTCGCACAGCTTGGTGCTGCATGTTGGCCAACCCGCAGAATTTGAACATCGAAGCATTTTTGCAGTCGCCCTCCAAGTCGCCTTTTGCACTGGCCTTGCGGGCTTCTGAGGTGGTACTAGTGGTACCAAATCGGCATGTCAGTGTCTACACCAGGCCAGATTGGAATTGTAAGGTTGTGGTCGTTGTGGTCGTTGTGGTCGTTGTGGTCGTTGTGGTCGTTGTGGTCGTCGTGGTCGTTGTGGTCGTTGTGGTCGTTGTGGTCGTTGTTGTGGTTGTTGTGGTGGTTGTGGTGGTTGTGGTTCTTGTGGTTGTTGTGGTTGTGGTGGTGGTGGTGGTTGTTGTTGGTGGTGGTGGTGTTGTTGGTGTTGGTGTTGGTGTTGGTGCTGGTGGTGCTGCTGCTGCTGTTGTTGTTGTTGCTGCTGCTGTTGTTGTGGTTGTGGCTGTGGGTGTTGGCTGTTGGCTGTTGACCGTTGGTTGTTGGTTGTTGGATGTTGGCTGTTGGCTGTTGGTTCTTGGTTGGTGGTTGTTGGTTGGTTGTTCGTTGTTGTTTGTCGCTTGTCGTTTGTCGATTGTTGTTGTTTTACTAAATAAAGCATACCGACTAAATCAAATTATCACAAAAACGGATATGTTTGTACATTGACGTGTTTTATCACAAATCAAACAACTGATACCGATCAACTCCTACGGAACCCCCTCTGAACGCCCAAACTCGGTGGCCCCTCGGCGGCCCTTCAGGCTTTGGTGTGCCTATGAGGCTTATATCGCAGATCAAGAGGGCAAGACCATCCTAATCGCTGCTGGATTTTGATGGTTGAAACTTTTCAAACACTTTTTTTTGGGGGGGTAAATACCATGGGAAAAGCATGGAAAGGCCATTGACCAATCGTGACCAATCTTCAGGCCAAGACTTCCAACCTTCAGGGCATCATCTTCGCCATGCTCCCCATGGCCGTAGCTGCACTGATTGGTGCCATGCTGGGAAGTTATGCGAGGCACCACTGGCAGCACTGTGCCCGGCAGGTCCGGGTGAAATCACTGCTTGGATGCCGTGGGGATGGTGGGGATGTTACCAAAATGATGGAAGATGATGGAAGAATGGTCAATTTTGGAGCACGCTGGTGCGGGAAATTCAGAAGCTGGCGCAAGCCAACGTGGGGGGAGCAGGGCACTTTCTAATGATGAACCCAAACAGATAGCAAAACCATTGAAATAGTAGGAATCCATGTCCGTCCGCAAGGGGGTCCACTATGACCACTATGTTTCATTTGTTATTGCTGGATGATGATCCCGATTGGTTCATATGTCTAGGTTATTTCACTCATTTACTTGCATGATGTGTCAACAAATACACTTTTTCAAACAAGGTTGAACCTCAACCATATGAATTTGCCCTTGTTTTTGCTGTCAAACTTTGTAGGTGACCTATGTGGGTGGTGTGGCGTCAGTGGCTGCCTACAATGTGCAGCACAACCAGTGTCGCATGTTGCTGAACCTATTCTGCGAGATGATTTGCTTTGAGAAAATAGTGCATTGGGAGCCTGCCTTTCAATGGGCGAAGGACCGCAATTCGGAGGACATCAAACCATTTGGATTTTGGGGATGAGTAACGACATTGTAACAAGGTTCATTTACCCAGCAGAAGAGGGGTTGAACACCCACTGCCCAATAGGGGAGAAAAGACCACTATTGTTAATGAACGCATGAACATCGTCATTGGGGCAAGTGCAACCGTACCTGGCAGTTGTATGTAGATTTTCCGTATAGCTGTAGTATGACATAGGTCGTACCTCCTGCGTGCATTTCGCGGCATTGAACAACCCAGTTGGTTTAGCCAGAGCATTTTCGTGATCGTTCAAGTTGCGATCTTGACCTCGGGCAATTATCAGATAACACTTGCAAAACTGGGAATGTCAACGCTTGTTAAAATAACTTTTCAACTGATTTGCATTTTTCCTCGACGAGGGAGAGGGTGAGAGAGCTAACTTCTTGGGTCGGTTTTCCTGAGTGGCTCTTGCTAATTCCGTTTTTTTTGCGTTGGGAACGTCTTGATGGTAGATGTGTGACAACAAGTTCGTGTCAGCGGCACCAAGTTATTGCTGGTAGCCATTTTGTGTTTTACAGCGTAGCGGCAACTCATAGCTTCCAATTCCTGCTCTTTTCTGATGGCGCAACTTGTGAAGTTTCAAGCTAAGTTCATGGCGTTGCTTGTTTATCAGCATGATGTATGCATGAAATAGACTGGTTAGATTTTGATTGGCATTCAATCATGTTCAACTGTCTGTGTTCCATGGTAGTTTCTGCAAGCAGCTTCTTTAATGAGTGCTGCTGACAGGGAGAAAGCGGTCATGTACCTCAAGAAACTTAACGATCAAGATGCACAAGAAGTCCTTGATGTCCTCTCCTGATTTTTTCGGTGTATGTTTGTGTTAAAGGGTGCCCTTACACGCGAAGAGGGCCGCCACAACCGCATAGGCCGGAAGAGTTCATCACTGCGATGTGCTTGTTGTCACTGCGGAATGCCGCAGCTGGGGGCCTTTTTGGACCATTGCCGTGTGCAAGCGCCGGAGGAGCTGCCGGACCACAGCCTCCTCCGGAGCACCTTGGTGAGTTTTTTCCAATTGTTGCGCGTTTGTTTTGCATTTTTTTTTGGCAGGTGGATCCTGCCGGCACTTGCTGGTGCCCTTTTTTGGCCACAGCCCAACGAGCTGATATACCTGCTAGCTCCCTGGGGTGAGGCGTGCCTTTACTATGCGCGCCTCGGCGACCAGAAGGCAGTTAACATTGCCATGATGAAACTGAGGCCATTTGTGCCTTCGGTGTTGAGGTTGCAACTAAGTAGCAAGCTTTGGAATGAAAATGGTTGCAGGAAGTGTAACCGACGGCATGGCAACGGCGGAGAGAATTTGATGAGTTGAGATTTTGAGTCGCTAGGTCAGTTTTTTCCATGCGTGAATAGTGTTCGTTTTGATCTTTGGATTTCGATTGTCGCCCGCTCGATTATATGAAGAGGACCGGAATGCAGATCAGCAAGGTTGCCCGTCAATATGCCGTCGCTCATCACTACAGGACTCGGCATCCGCGGCCAGACAAATCCTTCGCGGCCATTTGCGGTGCTCATGCTAAGCAAGGAGCGGAAAAGGTCTTGAATGCTTCTGCCTCATGTCCGATTTGTTCTGAAATACGAATCTAGAAAAGATACGGGCGTACCCGTAGAGCCCAACTCGAAAAGCATATAACATGAGGTGCGCATATACATGCATATATTTACATGACTACATATGCAATACATGCATGCATCCCCCATTGCCCTCGCCTGCCCCTACACTGCCAACCCATGGTGACGAACCTACTATCGCCTTTCCGACTCGTGGAGGCAACAGAAAAATCATTCGTTTCAGTGATTACCACAAGAACAGACGCATTAAACTACTTGGACACATCCTCCTCCGGAGTAGAGATGACGACCCCATTAGACAAGTTCTTTTCCGCCCCTAGTTCAGTTCCGCCCCGCAGTGTTGATTATGGGACCAAGCAAGTCGGCAGAATTGCTGGCTGCATCACACGAAGATGTGTTTGAACAGGTTCTAAGACATCATGGTTTCGAAAAACGCCGATGATGAAAGAGCGCATGCAGCTGCAATGAACAGCGATTTAAACCTTGGCGGCGCCAACACCTTGCAAAAGCGTGTCCGGATAGGTTGGTGCGAGGTACGGCTGGGGAAAAAATGCCCACATACATATATGCAAAATCTCGTTTCTGATATTTTGCACGTTACACATTTACATGTGCACATTCATGTATGTACATTAGATGAGGAAAATAAATAAACAAATAAATACAGAAATAAATAAATACATAAACACATAAATAAATACATAAATAAATAAATAAATAAATAAATCAATCAATAAATAAATATGGTATATATATACATACATACATATTATCATACATGCTTTATCACATATACTTTTCTTATATGTTTATTCCCCGACAGCGTAAGCTAATGGGGTCTTCAGCCCAGAATAGCTCCAGTGTGCGCTGGTGCAGGTGCCGGGTCAAGTTCAACGAAGGTTCCGGAGAAGGTTCCGGTGAAGGTTCCAGGAAGCCTTGGTGCAAAGCCAAGTCAGGTGGTGAACGCTAAATCCCTCCCCTGTTTTGGGTGAGCCCTCTGCGGCCGAATTTTAGTGCCCCAAGACCCCTGGGCCGAGACGGGGACGTTTTTTGGTAGGATAGGGGCCGGGGGGCCTAAAGTGGCATACGCCCCAGGGTTACAGTTTGTTGCTAACGTAGAATGGTGTGATGGGTTCGGTTCTTGTATGTGGTCACCAACAACACAAGGAAATTATGAAGTAAGAATCCTCTGAAAAGGGTAAAGGAGTTCAATGACTTCGGGTCCTTTGTGTTTCAATGAGTTGACGTTTGGATCCCCTCTTGAATTTGTTGGCCTTCCAACTGTTCTGGTATCCTCCGAAAATAATGGATCCAAAGGGCTTTGTAATGTTACCCTTTGTGTTACTTCCAGCTTCCGGGGTTTGGTCCAATCCAGCGGGCTCACGGCATATCACCACATGAAGCACACCGCAGCTTTTGGCTAATTATCGTTTGTTTCGCCCCGCCTTCGCTTTTTGTCCCTTTTTTGTAGCCGTGATGAGAATGGTTGCTCTCAACGCGGCTTTGGCGCTGCTGGCCCACATGCCAGCAATTCTCCAGATGCTCACTCCCAGGGACCTTCATCTGCTGCAGGCTAGATGGGGCACAGCGGTTTTTGAAGTTGTTGTTTACAAGGGTGGTTCTTTTGACTAAAGCTTCAAAGTTAGTTCAAGAAACGTTTGGGTGTTTTTGTTGTAGCGCCAACCCTGCTTTAGGTTGCCCTTGGCAGACGATTCCGGCTGCCGCAACCGTTTCGTTTTGTAGCCGATCTTGGTTTTTTCCAAGTTCCGGCTGCAGCCGTGCCTCGGCGTTTTTGGTCAAGCTTTCTCCTTTGGCTTTTCGGCTTTTCGGTAGTTTTTTTTCTATGGAAATATCGTGATAATAAGACATAATTATGCGTAATTGTTGATGACGAACATGTTTCTATGCACGGGAGATGGTTGCACTTCTTATTATATGTACAAATATATAGTTCCTTTTTAAAAAATTGCTTGCTGCTTCCAAGGTAAGGGTGCGAGGCTGGTATGGCGCAGCCTGGGATGAGCTTTGTGTAAATTGGGGCCGGTTGCACCCGGCAGCCGTGCTCGGTGCTTTTGGAGGTGGTGGTGAAGCCCTGGCACGGGCCACTTTGCATAGCTTGGAGCGGCGCCAGCTGCAATTGCCCCCACGTAGGGCTGGCTTCGCGCGTCAGCGGCAAGTCCTACGTGGGGTGCTGCAAACGAGGTTCGGGGACTTTTTGGTGGAGCTCAGTTACACACGTGAGGTGCAACTCATAGTGTAACTGAGTTCCCTGCATGCTATCCCCCGGTTGTTCACAAAGCTCTGAAACCAAATTCGGTTCAACAGGGTTCCGAAGAAGGTTCCGGAGAAGGTCTGGGAGGCTTTGGTGCAGAGCCAGGTGAAGTTCAACAGGGTCCTGGAGCGAAGAAGGTTCTTGGTGCAAAGCCAAGTCAGGTTCAACGGGTTCCGGAGAAGGGTCCAGCGCTTGGCTTCGCAGCACGCTTCAGAAAGATTTGCAAAAATAAAACGTTGCGGCTGCTGGGGATGCCACCGAAGCTTATTTTTTTATATTATGTATCTATGTGTGTGTGTGTATCTATGTAAGGTGCACAATGTGGTGTGATGTGATGTGATGCGGCTTGATGCGAGTTGATGTAATGTGTTGGGGTGATGTGGCGTAGTGTTGTGCAGTGTAGTATTGTGTAGTTTCTGGGTGCGCACGCATGTTCTATTTGTTATTGCATGCTATGTTACTTACGGGCATGTTTTGTTAAACGTCAATTTCTGTTGTGATTTTCCGTTCTGCATGTAATGCAATGCGATGCACATGTAGAAACTACAATTATCCCGTTCTCCGATGCCTCGACTTATTGAGTTACCCGCCAGGAATGGGGTTTTCCATGGCAAGTCCACTGCGGGGCCTACGTGGCGTTTTTTTTCACGGCCGCCATCTTATTCTGTGTGCTGGAGGTCGACCGCGTGAACGCCGAGCGCACGGCGTTGGAAGCAGAACAACTGCGGAAGGGATACCGAGGCGATGAGGATTCTACCAACCCATAGAATCAATGACTTGATTTTTGAAAATTAGTCCCAACAGCGAATCTGTTGGGTTTCAATCTCTGGGGGTGACTGGTGACACGAAAATGCACGCCCCGAACCGGAACAGTCCTGGAACCTTGCTGGAACCTTTCGCTGTTGGGTTGCAAAGCTGGGTTAATATGAAATTATATGGAGATAGAAACAAATTTTAATTGGGACTTAAACGACTGAAATGAAAATTAATGCTGTCATTGGGCAGAAAATCATCCAACAACTTTTTGTTCCGAACTTGGGAAGTATAGTGTGTCAATTGGGCCCGCATACTGACTACGTTTCTAAATTTGTCATGTTCCCTTATAACCTTAACAAACCATTGGGGCCCGCTAGCTCTGGGTGGAGGAAAAGGACCGTGAAACACGGGAACATATGGGGTTGAGAAATAAAGAAAGCAAAAAAATCACCAAAAAGGAAATACACTTGAGGCAAATCGATTTGAAACAACAAATTTGGGATTGTAACGGGTTTAACAGAGATAAAACCAACATGGGAATCTGATCAAACACGGACACCGTGACATCGTTTCGATCCCAGAACTTGGCCAAAAATGAACTCATTGTCAACATAACATGAGTTGTTGGATAGAAACCCCTATGTTTAGATTCCCATGTACAACATTAATAGGGGTTTCTATGTTTAGATTCCTATGTTTAGCACCTTGTAGTTATGTTAAAAACGTATTCTCTTCCCATTTTGGCAGTGTGTGACCCAATGGAGGTTCGATCCACTATGCCGACTGCACGCAGCCGGAAGATGCGCAACGGATCCGACACGAGATTGGATGCAAATCGGATGTGGTGGACTATGCCGCCTCAGTTGGATTGGCAGATTTTGCTGATGGGGGGATCAACATTGGCAATTTTGACGGGAGATTTGATGATAAACCATGAATTCTTAGGATGCTTGCTATTTTAATCTATTTTACAAGAGAATCCTGAACACATTTGATGTTGGGATGCGCAACTGTAAATCTGGGTGAGTTTCCCATTGATGTCGATGTTGGAACGGGACATTTCACAATTTCCTTGGACATCCGCCTATGTCTGGCGGAACCCATAGAGAATTCCTATTTGTTGTTGATCAAACCGTATTCTGCATATTATTCCACCATTTTCCTTGGCAGAGCCAAGCGTTTTTTGAATGGTTTTTTCCTGCAAGGCCATTGATGTGCTGCTGTCTGCAGGGATGTCCACCCCAGCTTTACGAGACATTGCGCGAGAGGGAGTTGATATCCAGCGAACCGCATATTCAGGGGTCGCCTCCAGTGCTCTGGTCAAAACTAAACAGGATTCAACTGGTTCAACACAAGATGGGGAAAACATCGGATAGCCGCCGCGTCTTAAGCACCGTTGACATTTTTCTCCCAAGAATATATTTCACCATATTTCACCCAAAAAAAGAGGATATCAAGAAATCAAATGCCGATTTCAGCCTCCAAACCTGCACGCCAAAGCCACAAAACACTGCTGAGATACTTTCACCCATGGCATCATTTTGGGGCATCATTTTGGGGCACTGCCAGTTGGTTCTTTCTTGTGAGTGTTTGGCCGGTGGTAAAATGTCAGTTTTGTTTCTTTGTTGCTAAAACCCCCAGTTGTTGGAAACACCCCTAGTTATACCCACTCCCTCATTTTTGTTTGCTAGATCCTAATCGTGGAAGATCAAAACTACATTTCGGCTTGGCAGCAAGTATCACCACAGATTTGTAGAAAAACATCACAACTTCAAACTTAGTGTGACTTTTGTTGGGCAACATCCCCAACAAAACCATACAATCCCAATAACAATCATTAAATTTTCACTGGGAAGCACGCCCAACAACACTTTCAGAAAATCGCCAGGTGTGGTGTTGCTGTTTCCCGTGGATTTCATTACCTTCACCTTCGCAGTGGTGGAAACCATCTATCTGAGAGGCAACTTTCTCCGGATGCTGCTGTCCAGCATCTGCATTCTGGAGCGCCTGATCTTGGCCACCCTGATCTACAGGAGCAAACTGATAAAGATGGAATCTGCAAACTGATAAAAGTGGGTATGACAACTAATATAGGAATTATATGTATATTCTGGGTATTTCTGGGTGTTTGGTGATTTGTGGTATTGGAGTACCATTGGACCCCAGATGATGCACGCGTCAAAATGAATTGTTCTATAAAAGTGACCAGCCATGTGTCCATTGGTCGTATATTGGTACCCCAAATTGACCTGAAGAGGTCGTTTCGCTGGAGGAGGTCAGCCATGCTGGTTGAAGGTTCATCAATCATCTAGTTGGGGGTTGGAGAAATTGGAAGCGATATGACCTGAGAACAGGGTTCTATTTCTTTTCACCACTGAAACATCACTTTCCGGTGGTCCCGTAATTAGTGGTTAACCTCCCCAAAGGGTGGTGTTTTTAGAGTGGCTGCAAAGGAACCCTGTGAGAATAGTGGAACCAAAGCGCGCTATGGTTACCGACCATCTCTCCCTAGGATTATTATGTTTATTTTACGTAAATGTACATAGATCATCATAGATCATAGATTTCATAATTTTCTGTTCATTGGCTTCCCATTGCGGCTTGAGGGACTCATGTTGTTGCAGGCGCTCCATCGACGAGCGGTGCTTTATTCTGAAGGTCATGGATAAATTCGTGGCAGCTTTGCTGATTTCCTTCGTTGGCTTGTGCCTTATGCCGACGGTGACCATGCGCAAAGTCTCCAAAATTTGGATCATTGGGTCCAACATTGGCTTCTCGCATGGCGGTTCAAGGTTCATCGTTTGTGGGGGGTATGTAACCGACACATAGTTGGGGTATACTGGGTATACCAAACCTATAACTTATTCATCCACTTAGGTGTTTTCTGAAAACTGCAAGGTGGGTGGTTTGCAATGGTATTGCCTCCTGGTGGTTGAAGGTTTACACATCGTTGGGGGAAGCCACCAATCATAAGTGGCTTTCTTCCTTGAACATTTACCATCTATGACGGTCAAGTATGATGACTGGGATGATTAATGGTTTGTTCTTCCAATACAATATATTTGCTTTAGATGATTTAGTAGATTTAACGCAAGGATGAATGATTTAACAAGATCCGGTAATCGAACCTGGTAACTTGAAATCCCTCCTCCACTTGTTTAATAAACAAAATCATCTGTAAGTAGATATGAATTTGTGTTTTCCATCGTCGTTGCCGGAAAAACCTCCCAGTGGAAGCATCAGGCTTTGCTTTGATGATCGCCTTTGCTGTGTTGGGCATACGCGGAACAGCCAAGCTTCCCATGGGATTGCGCCCTCGCCATGCTGAGGGATGCCTAAAAAATTGGGGTCACGAATGGCTTAACTTAAAATAGGAATCTAAATGGGGAAAAGTGGGGTCGTATTGCCCCCTAAATCCCTATAGTATACGAATCTATACGAATCTGATATCCGACTATGAATGTGTGTGTTTTATTCGGAGATTAAAACGATTGGGGGTATGGAGGTGGGATATTGACCCCATATTTGAGCCAGGGCGAGAAATCTAACCCCATAGAACTCCATTTCGATATGGCTCAACATTATTGATTCCCCAAAACGGATAGGTAAATGATAAAGATGTCCAATGGTGCTCCATTTTCAAACCATAGCGATATGAAACGTAAAATATCGTTCTCATCCATCTCCAAGTCAAAACCAGTGGTTTGCTGGCTATCCACATCAACTCTCCTGGGACAATTTTGGTCAATCCTCTGGGTGAATAAGTGGGATACAATACGATCCTCCATGATCCTCCTCACCATCGACCAACAAAGAAGATCATCCCACGGTGATTAGATCAGCATCCTGGAGCCAGGTGCTGGTTGCAGTTCTTCTTTGCCCGGGGCTTAACCTCCTGTGCCGCCTGCTGCTGCTGCAAATCTTGCGAGGCAATCGGGGATGGATCGGCAGGTGATCGGGTTTTCCCCTGGATGCCGAATCAATAGGGGGATCTGGGAAAATCATCCATTTACCAATGATATTCACGTTAAAGGCGGTTTCTGCCAGGGTAGCCTGCTTGTAAACCATTTTGTGCTTGGTGGCCGTCGTTTCAATTTCAATCAAGTATTTCAAGCATAGCAACTCCAATAATGATCCGCAACGAATACTCATATTTGCTTGTGTTGGTGGCTGAAACACCAATCAGTATATATATATACATTATATATATATAATTAATTAGTTAATTAATTAACTATATAATACTTCCAAGTGCTCCTTTGGGATGCTTTCAATGGTTTCCAAGAAAAAGCTGCAAACAAAGATTATACAGTAACTCAGTAACCCATATCCTTCCACATCACCTGGGATTCCCAAGGCGGAGCCGTCCTACGACCCGGAGCATCAGAGCCTCCGGAACTGTTCCGACTCGGAGTCCGGATCCTCCAAGGAGACGGATTGAGCACTGAGCACTGAGCAGCACTGAGCTCCTAAGGAGCCAACGGCCATGTTGGTTTACCCTGGATCTGGGGTTGTCTCAAAATCTGGCATCGAAATTTGGAGCCCCAGATCAAAATTTGGATTCCCCCAAATTCAGATGATTCATTGAATTTTGAGAGTCATCAAACATCATGAAATTGGTCACAAATTGTGGGATCCTTCAAGAGGCCCTGAATTTTCCCTCGTCAGCATGGCCGACAGCTGGGGGAAATGATGAGATTCAGCGGCTGGGCTACCCATCAACTGGATGTCACGGTCAGAAAAAGACGACTTGGTCCTTCAGTGTGGATGTCTCATGCCGAAATGGGATGTTCAACAGGGGAATATCTAGGCAGACTTTGGTGAATGGTAACGACCTCCAAAAAGGCGGCAATCCCAACTCCTATATTTGCCCTGGGAACGGGTCTTAGTTTGAAACCTGGAAACTTTGGTACCCAACCACAAAATAGCCCAGGGAAACCCATGTTCATTGCCCCAAATATGGTACAGTATTGACTCATCCAAATACTACGTACAGTACCACTTTGGTCCTTTGGTGAGTTGCACACCATTTTTCCGCAGTTTCCAAAAGCCACAGGTGCTCCGCTGGGTTTCTTCGTGAACAACACCGTCCTGGCGCTGCTGACGGAGTGCGGCATGCCAGCTGGGACCTCTGACGATTGCGAATCCAGTGAGCGAAAGTAGGAACGCCACTGTGTGGGGTTGAACTTTAGGCATAGAAAAGGCAAGTTTGGCCACTGACTTGAAGCGCCCAAAAAAAACCATGACCAGACTATTGGTCTTCTCACAAAAGGGACAAGCCTTGATCACAATGTCAACATGGTCAACACCAATAGCCCCCGGTTGCTCACACGAACCCCAGAGATACCGGACATCTTGGCACAGGGATTACCTGAAGAATGTCCGAGCCACTGCCGAACCACTGTTGGTCGATGGTGGATTTACTGCCAGATTCATATAAAATATATAAACATGAACACGATTATTGGCCATGGCTGGGGATATCAGCAAATTTTTGGATCTACAGAACTGGCAACAACCTGCGGCGTGAATTCAGGTGGTTGCCTACTACTACTATAACGCCCTCTGCTTGCGAGGGCCTTGGAGCAATGGCCATGGTGAATCCCTCAGTCCTGACCTCAATGGATCCCACAGCGAACCGCCAGAGGCCCTTTGCCATGTACATTTTCCACTTGAACCGGCCGCAGGAGGCCAGAAATTCCTTGGATGCCACTGAAATCAGTGGATAGTAACAGTTCGTACCTCACTGAGTTTGCTTACTTGTGAGTATATATATATTATAGATTATATATATTTATATATATATACACATAATCATAATTCTTCATATTTGTACCCATTCTCTAGTTGATTTGCTTGGGTCATTGCTCCTGTTTTTCCGCGGCAGGTCAAGGCTGCAAAGGGCAAGGGCTGTGAGGTCTTCATGAACTCCATGTATCATGCGATGGATTGGCTTCCCTATATGCTGGTGTCACTGGGCTGGTGACTAACTTGTGAATGCGGTGAATGGTCTTGTTTTTCCTGAATTTTCATGAAGGTTCTATGTTTACAACCGTACTATTTGATGGATATTGAATGATATTGATGAATCTTTGATGAACGCTTTCTGACTGGTTGATTCTTAGCCGTCTTAGCCGTCTGCTCAGGTGGTTTGTCGCCAAGTTCATTGGTAACTTTGTCCTGGAGGAGCGACGCTGACGACACGGCGGTGGGCCATGAAGGGTCGCCAGTGGTAAATAGATCAATAACTATAGTAACTATAACTTACCAAAACTGGAGATATCTATCACATATACTGCGTATACTGCAACTAGTTGTATCATGTTTCTATGAATAACTGTAATTTATGGTGCAGATTCATCTGCACTTGGATGGACGAAGATAAACAATCTTATAACTGTGGGGCTCCATCTTGTGAGGTTATCTACCAGCAAAATTTTGGATGAAAGAAGCCAGTTCCCGCTGTAAAAAAAGCCTGGACTGCCCCAAAGATCGTGGAAGTGCTGGAAGTTGATGCTTTTTAGAGGCCTGTAAACTCCCCATTTTATGTTTTTTTTTCATGGATTTCATGGGCATTTACTGAATCTAATGGGCATTTACTGAAGCTGGTCATAGGGTACCGTTCCGAAGCGTTACTAGATCCTCAAAGCCCAGCTGATGGAGGATGGCTTCCCCTTGCTGTTCAACACCTTCAACACCCAGAAGGCGTGGTTGAAAGGGAGAAAATCGAGGAAAATCATGGAGAAATGATGGTCAATCGTTCTGAAATGTAATTAATGTTCTGAAATCTCTGGGATTTCAGCAAACTGAGTCTTGATCAAGCCAAGGATAATAGTGGAAAGGATCGAAGAACGCAGCAGCGCAACATTGGTTCTTTGTAAAGACTTGAAGAACATCCCATTTTTTCGGTACAACCTTCAAACAAAGCCAGCTCAAGCCTGCAAAGTGCCTTCATTTTCAATTGTAATATGGTCTTTGGAACCTCAGATGAATGAAAATCTAAGCACTTGGTTGATGACTTCTTCGTGCAGCCCGAACACAATCGAAACCATCAGGAATGATTTCCTCATATTGATCAATCTTATCCCATACATTGCATAGTCTTTGGCAACATTGCTATTGTATATGTGTAGATGTTTGATGAATTAACCATAGTAATGTGTACAATATTGCAGCCACGGCATAAATTAAACCCATTGGATTTAGATTAAATTCACTCTCTTGGATAAATTGAATCCAACATCCACCGACAATGTTATGTGATCACAACCCATTCTCCAACATCCAGTCCCATTAGAGCCAATTGGATCATTCATATATATAATATTATATATATATATTATACAATATTATATGGTATATTTATATATTTATACATTTAGTATTTACATAAATACATGTATTCTAGGATGATAACCAATTTCGGTTTCACATGAACCCTAGATCAACTTTCGCCACCATCCGGCAGGTGCCTATCATTGGAGCCCCCGACAGCACCGAACATTTGATTCCGCACCTTGGTTCGTCTAGAAAAAACTATCAGTTTTACCCAACAAAGGTTGAATTTTGCAATCCCAAAAAACTGCGTTTATAATCCTAAATAGATAGATTCCTCATTGTATTCCCCATGAAAAATGGGCAAGTAAGTGCGATCATTCGCCATTTTCAGACACATCCATGCAGTTTCGGACATCATTTGGAGACTCCCAAGACATTGGTTGGGGGACTTGACTGGGAACGATTTTTTTTTGGTTGCCACAACTGGAGGAATGCAATATGCCATGGTACGTTGTTGTTTTTGCAGGGCAGCTAAGGTTGGATAAGGTTGGCCATGAACAAATCATTGGATCGCATGATTGCTTCTACAACATGTTCTTCATCAGGCTTGGAGATTCACCACTGAAAAGTCATCTCTATTCAGCCAGCCTGTTCCAAATTCCAACGATTTTTCCAACATCAATGAGTCAGCACATCCAATGATCAATCCCTAAAAGAATCATGTTAAATCCCCATTTGATCCCATTTGTTGATGGTTTTTTCCATGTTTTTCCCAGCATTTTTTCCCCATTCGGCAGATATTCCATGCTTCCGAGGTTCACGTTGTACACCGCCCTGCTGTGGTTCCCAGCCATGGCCGCGGGCGATACCATCAGCCGTCGCGTGCCGCAATTCCTGGACGTGACGTCACTTGGACCTGGAAAGGGTTCGGCCGAAAAGGGACCTGGAAATGGCCAGCAAAATGAGCATCGATGGAGGCTTTTTGACGATTGGGAAAATGAACATGAACTTTTTAGAGTGGATTGTCCCATGCAAAAATGGTGATTTTCCATGTGTAGGTTTACCAGAGGGTACCAGAGGTTTTGAACATCACCTAAATGTATAAAATGTATATTAATTATTGGGAAAATGATAATAAAAAATCACCTATAAGGATCTATAATGAATAGTTCAGATTGCACTCAATAGTCTTGCAGGGTAGCTATACGGTGAGGCATTGGAAATTGGAAATAAAGTGGGTGCTAACCGACTGAACAAAACAACATTGAGGATGTGCGACATGTGTGAACAGAAGCCTGAATCCCGCGAAACATGTGCACTTGGAAGATGATGGCAGTTTTGTTCGGGCTCAACATTGAAATATTGAGGGCTGTGCACCAAGATGCCCTAGTAAAAGTCGCAACATTTGTAGCAGGGTGGATAGGTCAGCAGTAAGCACACTTTGGACAACAGATTGGCTGGGAACAGGTGGATCATTTGAGGTTCATTTATTTTTCTTAATTGTTTAAAGGTGCACTTTGGGTACCATAACTGGAAGACAGAGATCTATCTGGCCACCAAGCCTCAGGGTCAACTGGAAGTGCTACACGTCTGGGCCTCGAGCTGCGGATGAACATCACTGGAAGTAGGGCACCCAAAAATCCCAAACTTTGGAAAGATTTGGAACATCACTTTCCCAACATGGCCATTTTGGGCTATCTACATCAGATATCATCAAAGAAGCACCACACTTCTAGGCAAACTCTGCCTTCGTGGTTAGGTATCTGGCCATATCAATTGTCATGTGCGTCGTGGGCGAGGTGCAACGATTGGAGGGGTTGGTAGACCTTGATTGGGGCTAATCATACGAATATAAGTGGACAATAGGCAGCAAACCTGAGTTTGCCCTTGCCAATCTTTAATGATAAACCTTTAAACAGTGGGTCTATTTTAGGCTTGCCATTATATATATATATACATATACATATATATATTATATAAGTACTATTTGGAGGCAAAGACACGATGATGGATGAATGAACCAACCCCATGTTCCTGTCCTCAAAAGCATCCAAAATGACACGACATAGCACAACCGCACTTAGGTCGATTCTATCAAGCCATTTTCATTGGCTACGGCCCCTCCCAAATCTTACCATTTTGGCTGGTTTGATCTCGTCATCCATTCATCTTGGAGCCATATTTTGCTTCAACTAAGATCATGATGCTTAGGTCCATGGATACCAGCCCCTTCCACCGGTAGGCGTTGGATTTTCTCCTACTTGCCTTGGTCACTGTGGTGGTGACTTGGCTTCAGGAGGTTCGTTCCGAAACGTTGATGTATTGAGATGTGATTGCTATTTTTTGTGAGATTTATTGGGATATCCAATTCTCATTGATTCCTAAAGTTTGTTGAAAGACGTGATTCATAATGGTTGCAACTGAAACGGAGCTGATATCCCAACTGCATTCAGAAAGGTCTGGTTGCGATTACGGTGGAGATCGAGGGTTTTTTTCCATCGGTTGTCTGGGATGCGACGTAGTGTGTTAGCTTATCAATATCATGATCCATTGTGGGACTACCTTTCTTCACCATTGCAACTGTATGGGATAAAAGGTTTGAATGTGATTTTCATACAATTTCATTGGCTGTTCTTGGGATCCCGCTGTTTGGAGCATACTTACACATACATCTAGACACATCTAGATTCTATACATTCCAATAGTGTCATACATGTCAATAGACAAACATCTCAATTCCCGTGATATCACTGACATCACACATCAATTCGTGTCATATCCCAATAATTGCTGGTCATACACATATGTTTTCCCGCAACCGCAACCGCAACCAACAAGGCAGCCTTCATTGCCAATTTCGGAAATGGCTTCATCTATGGACTGTAGCTGATCTCAGCGGTTCAACCGGGCAGCTGACTTGCAGGTTGGAATATCATAGGAATGTTTTTGGGATGCAACAAGGTCATCCTGTCACAGTTAGATCTATCACAATAAACCATAACTTTTGGTCGTTTATTATATAAATAGTTGGCATTTTGGTTTTCCCAATATATCCCAATAGTTTACCTCCATTTTTTTTCACAGTATCTATTTTGGTACAGGATCATTATATCTCACTAAGATTTCTCAGTATATTCTAAACCAAACAAGAAATGATTAAAGAAACAATCCTCATAAACTTTCGTTAGATAAGATCGATCGATTCCAGTTTGCGGAGTCATATCCAATTTTGGGTTTCTCCCACATCAAGTCGCTTGTTTGCCGGGACATGCTCGGCGGATGACTAAACTTTTCAGACGGGAGCCAAGGTCTGCCAAGTTCATTGATTGGAAAATCGCGGAAGAGCATAGATACACTGCCTACAACTTGTGTCCTGCCTGCAACAAATGCTGCAACTACAATTAGCAGGAGATAAGATTGTGCATTTCATTTGTGCGTGTTTGTTTTGGAGCAAATTCATGCTGTGGAGTTTTGTTGAACAAACCAACATCTTAGTTAGGTTTTATCCAAGTTCGCTGATCAAGAATGACTCTCAGGTGGTGCTTTGTCGGAGACTTGGGCGGCTATGCTGGACAGGGTGCGCTGTCAGCATCTTGGTTGCATGGACCGCATGGAACTAAACAGTTTTAAACACCAAAGAAGCCGCCTTGACAAGTCTCTGCAACGGTGCTGTATGGGGTTCTGTCAAAATGATGGGGGAGGCCCTGTTCTACAGCCTTTTTCATGGGGAAAATGACGAGGGATGCCTGCGGGATGCCCCAGTTCTAGAGAAACCCGTACTGATCCAAGTTTGGGGTACAAGAGTCCCAGTATGTGGCCCTTCGTTCATTCGTGTCTTGTGAAGTGAAGATCAAGATCAACTCCTCAGAACAGGTGGTGAAATGTACCCCTCGGTTCACTGGTCATCATTTTCCCTATGGCCCTAAGAAAAGGCCATTTGGGTGGTATATTTTGATGGTAATTGTAGTTCCCATGAAAGAACTGAGTGACAAAGAGGATTCTGCTCGAACCAAGAACTGGTGTGGTCTGAATGAATTCTGATGGAGGTTGATGATCACACTCCAACTAGAAGTGCTTGTGCTGGGACAAACCCTGAAGTCAGTGAACTTTCAGCAACTGGGTGGAAGCCCTACAATCACCATTACACACATATGTAATGTGTATATATATAATATACTATATAGATTATATACTAGTTACTATATATATATGGGTACATAGAGGATGCTGGAGGATTCTACCCCTTCAGTGATCATCTAAACCTCGTTTTTCATCGGCGCCAGGTGTGGTTGGCCGATCAGGTGTGCAACGGAAGACACTATGCCTTCGTGTGCCATCTGAAGAAACTGCTGCTGATCTAAGGTGCCCGTGCCGGAGCAGCTGCCTGAAAGTTGCGCGATTGATGGTGACACCCTGTTGGCAAACACAAAAAAGTTGGCAATCATTTTGGAATCTGGCAAGTTTCTGTGAATGATCGCCGCTTTATAACATTGCACAGGTTTCAGTGTTCATTTCCTCATCCTTTTCTTTTTGGGATGATAATTTGAGGACCATGCCACTCGCCAGGAATGTTACCGTGGTGCTATGGGCGCCGCGCGTCAAGCTAATGCTGATCGCTGAAACTCGTGCGATCTTCATCGATTGTCGGAAAATGTGGCGATCCGGCAGTGATGTGGATATGGGTTTCTCTATGTTTCTCTGAACATAGGGTAGCCTCCTAAACCCTATTAGTGGTTAATCATCATTTTCCCTGTCAAAGTTGCCATAGATTGGGGACATATCCCGTTTTCAGATAGCTCGGGCTGCACAACATTCAGGGTACAGCCAACGGACTTTTGGTTCAACATGGTAGCTGAGAAAGCCGGATTGAACAATAACAAAGAAACTAACAATTTGATACCTCAATCAAACATTGCAATGGAAAACCCATGAGATCCGTTGAGATACATCATTTTAGTCGGAGTTTACTCCATGGCCTCACGTAGCAGCATAGCATTTGGCTGCGAGATCAACAAATTCCACACATTTCAGCAGAACACTCAGAATCCTCACATCAACCGCCCAGATATGACTGGGACGGCATCATTTAACCCATCAAACTAGCCATGAAACAAGCTATCGTCCCATATCAGAAAAAACCATCTAACAACATCATATATGTTTTTTCTTGAAAACTGCCATGAAGTTGCAATTTTGCATTGCCACACATGGCTACAATTTTTTAGGTACTTTCCCCAGCACAATTCATCGAAATCACCATCAGATTCGGGAAATCTCACCAGCAAATCACCATAAAATCACCCTAAATTGGGGTAATCCCCCAGAATCACTATAGAATTCACCCTAAAATCTGGAAATCACCATGAAAATCCCACCATAAAATTGGGAGAATCCAGCCCTTTTTATCGCCATAAAATCACCGCGCCATGCGCGCCATCCAGGAATCCGTGGCCAAGTCACGCCAGGCGGCGCTGGAGCGTACGCTGCAGCGGCAGGCAGAGGAAGAAGCGGCGCAGGAGGCCGGCTGTGATATGCCGGGGATATCAATGGTAATTATCTATACATATCTGGTTGGTGGTTTGGAACATCAATTTTATTATTCCACATATTGGGAATGATGATCCCAACTGACTTTCATATTTTTCAGAGGGGTTGAAACCACCAACCATATATATAATATAATATAATATAATATAATATGATATAATATATATAATATATAATATAATATAATATAATATAATATATAATATAATATAATATATAATATATAATATAATATATAATATAATATATAATATAATATATAATATAATATAATATATAATATAATATAATATATAATATAATATAATATATAATATAATATATAATATAATATATAATATAATATATAATATAATATATAATATAATAATATAATATAATATATAATATAATCTATAATATAATATATAATATAATGTATAATATAATATATAATATAATATATAATATAATATAATATATAATATAATATAATAAAATAAAATATGGAGGGATCTAAATCTAAATGTGAATATCATGGGGTATATAACAATGTAACCATCATCTGCCAGGCGCTGAAGCAAAAGAAGGCCTTAAGGCTGAAGAAGGTCTGACCGGTGGGTTATCCACTGGGATTACCATCCATCTTGGTTGATATTGCCCTTGATGTTCACAAACTAGCTGAACAAAAGTAGAATGTTGATGTTGAGCTACCATAATGGTGTTGGGATATGCACCATATTTGACTGTAGTCGATAATGGTTTATCAATCTCCAAACAATCACATTCAGTTTGGTTCATTGTTGGGTTTCCCACGTCGCTATCTGGAATGGTTTATAAACTACCTTGCCAACTTTTAAACATCTACAGTATAAGTATGGCCACAATATAGTACATAATGCAATATAATACATAATTCCCCAGATAGCTGGCAAGCTATAGGGGTTCTTACTTCTCAAAGGTGGGGTCTTCGGTGGCGAACTTTTGAGCAGGGTGCTGTGCAGGGTGCTGTGCAGGGTGCTGTGCAGGGTGCTGTGCAGGGTGCTGTGCAGGGTGCTGTGCAGGGTGCAGTCCAGACTGCGGTGGCGAAGTCTGGCAAAGGTGCTGCGCAGGGTGCTGTGCAGGGTGCAGTCCAGACTGCGGTGGCGAAGTCTGGCAAAGGTGCTGTGCAGGGTGCTGTGCAGGGTGTTGTTCTAGTGCGGTGGCGAAGTCTGGCAAAGGTGCTGTGCAGGGTGCTGTGCAGGGTGCTGTCCAGATTGCGGTGCAGAAGTCTGGCAAAGGTGCTGTGGAGGGTGCTGTGCAGGGTGCTGTTCAGACTGCAGTGGCGAAGTCTGGCCAAGGTGCTGTGCAGGGTGCTGTGCAGAGTGCTGTTCAGACTGCAGTGGCGAAGTCTGGCAAAGGTGCTGTGCAGGGTGCTGTGCAGGGTGCTGTGCAGGGTGCTGTGCATGGTGCTGTGCAGGGTGCTGTGCAGGGTGCTGTGCAGGGTGCTGTGCAGGGTGCTGTCCAGACTGCGGTGGCGAAGTCTGGCCAAGGTGCTGTGCAGGGTGCTGTGCAGGGTGCTGTCCAGATTGCGGTGCCGAAGTCTGGCAAAGGCGCTGTGCAGGGTGCTGTGCAGGGTGCTGTGCAGGGTCTGAGCCAAGGCGCTTTTTCGTTGCCGCATATCATTTTGACATGCGCATTTTTCGTGCAAAAACATTTTTATGCCGGCCCATCAGCCAAACGCAAACATTCCGCTACCGGTCCATTAAGCAAAACAAAAGGTTCTGTTACCGGCTCAGTAAACAAAACAAAACAACATTAAGAACCATGAGTTCTAACTTTTTGCAATCAACAGATCCTTCCACTGGTAACGTATGCTTTTTCAGGTTTGGAACCATGAGTTTCAAGCTTTCGGAACCCGCAGTTCCTTACAATGATAGCCGCTTAGCTTCGAAAACATAAATTCTAACTTCTGGGAACCGGCAATTCCTTGCAATGGTAACCTCTGGTTCCCAGGTTGGGAACCGCAAGTTTCAACGTCTGGGAACCGGCAGTTCCTTGCCATGGTAACCTTTGGTTCCCACGTTGGGAACCATGAGTTCCAACCTTTAGGAACCGGAAGTTCTTTGCAATGGTAACCTATGGTTCCCAGGTTGGGAAGCATGAGTTCCAACCTCTGGTAACCGGCAGTTGCTTGCAATGGTAACCTCTGGTTCCCAGGTTGGGAACCAGGAGTTCCAACCTCTGGGAACCGGCAGTTCCTTGCAATGGCAACCTGTGGTTCCCACGTTGGCAACCGTGAGTTCCAACCTTTGGGAACCGGCAGTTCCTTGCCATGAACCAAACGCAAACATTCCGGTACCTGTCCATTAAGCAAAACAAAGCGTTCTGTACCGGTCCATTAAGCAAAACCATGAAGTTGTAAAGAAAATGTTTTCATATCAGTTTGACATGCACCTGTTTCGTGCAAAAATTTTTTAAGCCGGCCCATCAACCAAACGCAAACATTCCGCTACCGGTCCATTAAGCAAAACAAAAGGTTCTGTTACCGGCTCAGTAAATAAAACAAAACAACATTAAGAACCATGAGTTTTAACTTTTTGGAATCAACAGATCCTTCCACTGGTAACGTATGCTTTTTCAGGTTTGGAACCATGAGTTTCAAGCTTTGGGAACCCGCAGTTCCTTACAATGATGGCCGCTTAGCTTCGAAAACATAAATTCTAACTTCTGGGAACCGGCAATTCCTTGCAATGGTAACCTCTGGTTCCCAGGTTGGGAACCGTAAGTTTCAACGTCTGGGAACCGGCAGTTCCTTGCCATGGTAACCTTTGGTTCCCACGTTGGGAACCATCAGTTCTAACCTTTAGGAACTGGAAGTTCTTTGCAATGGTAACCTATGGTTCCCAGGTTGGGAAGCATGAGTTCCAACCTCTGGTAACCGGCAGTTGCTTGCAATGGTAACCTCTGGTTCCCAGGTTGGGAACCAGGAGTTCCAACCTGTGGGAACCGGCAGTTCCTTGCAATGGTAACCTGTGGTTCCCACGTTGGCAACCGTGAGTTCCCTTTGGGAACCGGCAGTTCCTTGCCATGAACCAAACGCAAACATTCCGGTACCGGTCCACTAAGCAAAAACATAAAGTTGTAAAGAAAATGTCTTCATATCATTTTAACATGCACCTTTTTCGTGCAAAAACATTTTTATGCCGGCCCAGCAGCCAAACGCAAACATTCCGATACCGGTCCATTAAGCAAAACAAAAGGTTTTGTTACCGGCTCAGTAAACAAAACAAAACAACATTAAGAACCATGAGTTTTAACTTTTTGGAATCAACAGATCCTTCCACTGGTAACGTATGCTTTTTCAGGTTTGGAACCATGAGTTTCAAGCTTTGGGAACCCGCAGTTCCTTACAATGATAGCCCTTAGCTTCGAACACATAGAGTTCTAACCTCTGGGAACCGTCAATTCGTTGCAATGGTAACCTCTGGTTCCCAGGTTGGGAGCCGTAAGTTTCAACGTCTGGGGACCGGCAGTTCCTTGCCATGGTAACCTTTGGTTCCCACGTTGGGAACCATCAGTTCCAACCTCTAGTAACCGGCAGTTGCTTGCAATGGTAACCCATGGTTCCCAGGTTGGGAACCAGGAGTTCCAACCTCTGGGAACCGGCAGTTGCTTGCAATGGTAACCCATGGTTCCCAGGTTGGGAACCAGGAGTTCCAACCTCTGGGAACCGGCAGTTCCTTGCAATGGTAACCTGTGGTTTCCACGTTGGCAACCGTGAGTTCCAACCTTTTGAAACCGGCACTTCCTTGCCATGAACCAAACGCAAACATTCCGGTACCGGCCCATGAAGCAAAACAAAGCGTTCTGTACCGGTCCATTAAGCAAAAACATAAAGTTGTAAAGAAAATGTCTTCATATCATTTTAACATGCACCTTTTTCGTGCAAAAACATTTTTTTGCCGGCCCATCAGCCAAACGCAAACATTCCGCTACCGGTCCATTAAGCAAAACAAAAGGTTCTGTTACCGGCTCAGTAAATAAAACAAAACAACATTAAGAACCATGAGTTCTAACTTTTTGGAATCAACAGATCCTTCCACTGGTAACGTATGCTTTTTCAGGTTTGGAACCATGAGTTTCAAGCTTTGGGAACCCGCAGTTCCTTACAATGATAGCCGCTTAGCTTCGAAACATAAGTTCTAACCTCTGAGAACCGGCAATTCCTTGCAATGGTAGCCTCTGCTCTTAGGTTGGGAACCGTAAGTTTCAACGTCTGGGTTCCTTGCCATGGTAACCTTTGGTTCCCACGTTGGGAACCATCAGTTCCAACCTTTAGGAACTAGAAGTTCTTTGCAATGGTAACCTATGGTTCCCAGGTTGGGAAGCATGAGTTCCAACCTCTAGTAACCGGCAGTTGCTTGCAATGGTAACCCATGGTTCCCAGGTTGGGAACCAGGAGTTCCAACCTCTGGGAACCGGCAGTTCCTTGCAATGGTAACCCACGTTGGCAACCGTGAGTTCCAACCTTTGGGAACCGGCAGTTCCTTGCCATGAACCAAACGCAAACATTCCGGTACCGGTCCATTAATCAAAACAAAGCGTTCTTTACCGGTCGATTAAGCGAAACCATAAAGTTGTAAAGAAACTGTTTTCATATCATTTTGACATGCACCTTTTCCTGCAAAAACATTTTTTTTGCCGGCCCAGCAGCCAAACGCAAACATTCCGCTACCGGTCCATTAAGCAAACAAAAGGTTCTGTTACCGGCTCAGTAAATAAAACAAAACAACATCAAGAACCATGAGTTTTAACTTTTTGGAATCAACAGATCCTTCCACTGGTAACGTATGCTTTTTCAGGTTTGGAACCATGAGTTTCAAGCTTTCGGAACCCGCAGTTCCTTACAATGATGGCCGCTTAGCTTCGAAAACATAAATTCTAACTTCTGGGAACCGGCAATTCGTTGCAATGGTAACCTCTGGTTCCCAAGTTGGGAACCGCAAGTTTCAACGTCTGGGAACCGGCAGTTCCTTGCCATGGTAACCTTTGGTTCCCACGTTGGGAACCATGAGTTCCAACCTTTAGGAACCGGAAGTTCTTTGCAATGGTTACCTGTGGTTCCCAGGTTGGGAAGCATGAGTTCCAACCTCTGGTAACCGGCAGTTGCTTGCAAAGGTAGCCTCTGGTTCCCAGGTTGGGAACCATGACTTCTAACCTGTGGGAACCGGCAGTTCCTTGCAATGGTAACCTGTGGTTCCCACGTTGGCAACCGTGAGTTCCAACCTTTTGAAACCGGCACTTCCTTGCCATGAACCAAACGCAAACATTCCGGTACCGGTCCATTAAGCAAAACAAAGCGTTCTGTACCGGTCCATTAAGCAAAACCATAAAGTTGTAAAGAAAATGTTTTCATATCATTTTGACATGCACTTTTTTCGTGCAAAAACATTTTTATGCCGGCCCATCAGCCAAACGCAAACATTCAGCTACCGGTCCATTAAGCAAAACAAAAAGTTCTGTTACCGGCTCAGTAAACAAAACAAAACAACATTAAGCACCATGAGTTCTAACTTTTTGGAATCAACAGATCCTTCCACTTTCAGGTTTGGAACCATGAGTTTCAAGCTTTGGGAATCCACAGTTCCTTACAATGATAGCCGCTTAGCTTCGAAAACATAAGTTCTAACCTCTGGGAACCGGCAATTCGTTGCAATGGTAACCTCTGGTTCCCAGGTTGGGAACCGTAAGTTTCAAGGTCTGGGAACCGGCAGTTCATGGTAACCTATGGTTCCCAGGTTGGGAAGCATGAGTTCCAACCTCTGGTAACCGGCAGTTGCTTGCAATGGTAACCCATGGTTCCCAGGTTGGGAACCAGGAGTTCCAACCTGTGGGAACCGGCAGTTCCTTGCAATGGTAACCTGTGGTTCCCACGTTGGCAACCGTGAGTTCCAACCTTTTGAAACCGGCAGTTCCTTGCCATGAACCAAACGCAAACATTCCGGTACCGGCCCATTAAGCAAAACAAAGCGTTCTGTACCGGTCCATTAAGCAAAACCATAAAGTTGTAAAGAAAATGTCTTCATATCATTTTAACATGCACCTTTTTCGTGCAAAAACATTTTTATGCCGGCCCAACAGCCAAACGCAAACATTCCGCTACCGGTCCATTAAGCAAAACAAAAGGTTCTGTTACCGGCTCAGTAAACAAGACAAAACAACATTAAGAACCATGAGTTCTACCTTTTGGGAATCAACAGTTCCTTCCACTGGTAACGTATGCTTTTTCAGGTTTGGAACCATGAGTTTCAAGCTTTCGCAACCCGCAGTTCCTTACAATGATGGCCGCTTAGCTTCGAAAACATAAGTTCTAACCTCTGGGAACCGGCAATTCGTTGCAATGGTAACCTCTGGTTCCCAGGTTGGGAAGCATGAGTTTCAAGGTGTGGGAGCCGGCAGTTCCTTGCAATGGTAACCTTTGGTTACGAGGTTGGCAACCATGAGTTCCAAATTTCAGGATTTGGTAATTGCTGGAAATGGAAATCTATGGTTGCCACGTTGGGAACCATGAGTTTCAATTTCGTGGAAGCGGCAATTTCTGCAATCGTAGTCCGTTAATGGTTTTGTTCAGTGGCAAGCGTGGAGAACCTAGTCATATGAAAACATCAAAGCGTGATGAAAATTGGAACCTAGTCATATGGAGGCGTGTGCTTTTACCAAGGACTGCCGCGTGTTACAGATAAGCAATTTGATGCCGGCCCATTAAGCAAAACAAAAGGCTGTAAAGAACATGTTTTCATATCATTCTAACATTAAGCCAAACAAAGCGTTCTGTTACCGGCCCATTACGCAAAACCAAGCAATACCGATGCATGAAAGTTGCCAGACTTGCTTGAATCGTTGGGAACCAGGATTGCCTTCAAATGCGATTTCAAGGTTCCAAGGTTGGAAATCGTGGGCGGCAAGGAAAAACACTTTTTTTTGACGCAACCTCTGTGATGTCAATCCGACACGCAAATCTTTGAGTCCAAACGCATCACCATTTTGATCATTCAACAAGACAAAACAAAACGCGTTTTCAAAGAATATTTGCTCATGTCAATTGAGTAGGCAGATGCTGTGAAATTTGCTTGTCGAGACATCCGCTATATCACTGACCCATTGACGCGGCATGAAAAAACGTTTCTGAAATCTTTTCTATCTGGGGTCTATGCCGGTGTAATTATATATACACACATATTTTATACATGTTCCATGTATATTGATCTATATCTAGTGCCCTTCGAAGCTCCGTGGCGTCCCTTTCGGTGCACACCTCGAGGTCCGCCGCGAGTTGGGCATCTACCGCCAGGCTCTGAGGGCCTGCGAGCTGGGCGCGTGCGGTGGCCTGGAAGGCCTTCCAAGGGGCCCCAAGGGGCCCCAAGGTCCGAGCTGGGGAGGATGTTGGGGAGGATGTTGGAGGCATGAAAAATGAGGGGATTCAACCACAAAAATCATGGGATTATGATGTTCTTGCTGGTTTAAACCGTAAAAACCAGGGGATTATGATGTTTTTGATGGTTTTGAATGTTTATAAACCATCAAAATGTTGGGGAATTCGTATTGTGTGAATATGGCATCTATTTGGAATTTAACATGTGAATATGGCATTTACAACCATTAATACCCATAAAAAACTAGGGGATTACAATTGATTTTCGAACATTTCCTCGGTTTTGATGGGTTGCCAGGACCTGATGTTGTCCATGGAAAATAGAAGGTTGACAACTAAAAATGGAGATACCATTGATGAAATGCTGGTTGGTGGCCTAAGATTAGTGATTAACTAAGATCAGGATTTATCTATTATTTTTGGCAAATTTAACCATTAATCATTGAATGTGCATTGCATTCGGGATTTCATTTTTTTTTGGTAGAGATAAGTGATTTTTCATGGAGGCTTGGGGGTCCTGGCGCCAATGGCAGGACCCTTGGGTTTAGTTCGACATGGTCACCCTATATCCAATCCGTGGAATATTCGCAAATTTGCTTTGGTTTTGTCTGAAAATAAGGTACGCCTAAACCTAATGACCTAATGGTTGTTATGATTTTCTCTACTAACGGTTCGTTAGGGGGTAGACCAGGATGACACAATTTTCAAAACACGTTCTTGCCAACAAACAGATCCAAAACAAAACCCGGATCCAGGGCCAAATGGTGATCAGCCGGACATGTGCGTAGGCCCGCATACAAAATTAAAATAGGAGCTATCTCACGCGTTTTCAACAACCACCTGTCAGAGAAACATGTGCCACAGGTCACTTTACCTGGTTGTTGTCAACAGATCCAAGGATGAAAGGGGGCAGTGCATAGCTTCAACATGGACCAGTCGTGTTTTCATGTAAACCCTTGGCCCGCAAACTTCAAACCGCAGCATGCCTCGCCAGTCCGCTGAGGGCTTCGGGTTTGCCGCCGGGTGCGGGAGTTGTCTCTTACCAGGCAGCCGTTGGGACGATTTTTCGTGGGCCGGTGAATGCTTTAAGATTGGGTATAGGCACCTTATAGAGCATTTTCCCCCACTTCAGGCAAACTTGCAAAAATTTGGGACTTGTACCGGAATCCCATCGTTCCAGCATGAGGCGCCCCCGTCAAGAAGTCGGTTTAGTAGTATCCGATCTGTTCTGGTTGGAGTGATTCGTCGGGATGACCTTCCAAACTTCAACATAAAAAGGGAAAATAAACCAACAGCGGTGGGCACCTTCAGTGCCAACAATGCAGTGCTTGAAACTTAACCAACATGACCAGCTTTGTGCTTCACATCCGGTAACTGCTTTGTATACATATGTTTAACCAATGCCGATAGTTCGCAAATTGAGCTCCTTAGACCGTCTACGCACTGGCGTGCGGTTCTTGATCATGAACCGTTCAGCTTTTAAGTGCGTACCCAAATGACCAGCCTTCCAATCTTTCGGTGCTCCCTTCTCCAAGCATGCGGAAACAATTTCCCGTACGACTCTCGAATGCACATGTTTGTGTTGCCGCTGGCAGGACTATGCTCTGCAGCTGCTTTTGGAACTGTATTTTGGATGCAAAGGTTTTGTCACAACCTTGACGTAAACCATTGACAATCAACAAACCAATCACGAGCCATCCCGTTTTTTCAATTCTCCGTTTGTTGCACGTGCAAATCATAGCTCCTGAACTCGTGGTTGTTTACCATTCGGACTACCACGAATCAACCGGAGTCAATGCAATCGGCTCCATTGCTTTCAACGTGGATTTCACTAGTTTGAAGAGGAGGAACAAGTAGCACAATACACCATGGTAAAAATATATAAGAATATGATAAAATATGTTATTTAGGTCAGAAACGATGGAACATCACCTTAGGAGACAACTCATCGAACCAAATGGGCGATCTTCGCCGTGTTTCAATAATGTGGGTTTCTTAAGGGTTTCGAAACCAACAACCGCAACAACGGAGAATCCGAAACATGGGTTGAGTCATGGGCCGTAACATGGCAAGCTGGGACATCCCTTCAATGGAGATTTCTATATAGGACATGCTTAAATAACGTGTGGTTTTCCATTGCCGAAACGTGTGATTCCAAGGGAGTAGTTGGATTTTTCACGGAACCGAAGAATGGTTGGCCATCACCCTTTGAAACCTGGCCCGGCAAATCATGGGACGTGGTTTGGGATTCAAAAATGTCAACCCTGGATTAATAAACACCAATCGGCTGTTTAATCGGGAGAGTGCCATTTAAGTATCAGATTATGATGATTGGAGGAAAACCCCCTAATTGATAAACCATGGCCGGGGTTGACATTATCGTCGATTAACCCAAATCCCCGGGTCCGAGTTTTTGTGTAACCATCATCAAAACTTAAACCATCAAACATCAATGCTGTTTAGTTTTAGTGTTTCAAACACTTATACTTTTTTTTGGTAGTTACCATCCCTTCATCTTTGCATTAACATCTCATGTGATCTTGATGTGAACATTTGCACGAGGCAAAAGGCAGAGTTGCCGATCGCAGGGGCCCTGTTGGTTAGTTGGCGTGGCCACCGAATATTTTTGGGTCCGTTCACATGTTTTCTGGGATGATGATCCCAATTGACTAATGACTAACCAATGTTTTTCAGGGGGTTTGTATACCATCAAGTAGAATTACGCGCTGACACCATCGTTTGCCCAAGAAATCAAAGGCCATAACATATACATGTATCACTATCATTTAGGTTGGGGGGGGTTGGGGGGGTGTCCTGATTGTTCCTCAGCATTACATGCCAAATTTTTCCCCATGACCCCTGAAAGATACATATCATACCATCGACGATGATAATCCTTCCCGGTCCGGGCAAACGATGGCGTTAGACCGTAGAAGTACTGGAAGAGTGTGACTGCATGTTTATTATAACTGCTGGGTCATCCTTGGCACATGACGAAAATGAATTGTTTTGTTCCACATGGAGTTTTTTTTTGCTCAATCAATGGTCAACTTTTTTTTGGACCGGGGGTTGCACCACCACCAGTTCATCGGCACTTCGGGCTGGTGGTTTGGCGCCGGATGCCGCGACAATTCCACACAACTGACCCCTCCACCATTGCATCTTTTTGTAGGATACTAAGAGATTAGCAGTCCTTAGATGGGGTTAGCTGGTTCGAATTTCGGTTAGCACCAATTTTCTGGGTTTGTCTTGAGATAGGGTACCCCTAATCCCATGGTCTGTCATCATTTTCCATGTGACTTCATGGCTGTTTTTTTCCTTAGAAAAGGAACTACCCTAGGGCCCTAGGGTAAACTAACATAGATGTGGAAAATCATCTATTTGTAGACTATTTTCCTGCACAAACCATGGTTTTCCACATCTATGTTGATTTACCCTATGGTAATCTAGGGCATATTGAACTAACCAGCTACAAGGAAATGCCAGGCACTTGAGATAGGCCATGTTCTTTCGTTCAAAAGATTGCAGTTGTGTCCAGCAATATTTTTTCCTGGATCTTGCGAAAATCAAATTGTGACCCCAACGGTGAATAATGGTTGATACTGGTTGGTTAATGGTTAATGATGCTTAATATTAATACTGGTTAATAATGGTAAATCATGGTTAATGATGGTTAAACATGGTGATGAATGGACTGCTCATGAATTGATCCTGAGGGGAAACATGATGCCAGGAGAATCCCCCTATGTGGGGATTTCGAGGAAACTCACAACTTTTGCGCTTCCAGCATGCCATGACCGGAGGGGATGGAATTTGGTAGACCCATGCCATGACCATCCCACATTTTCACAAGAGAGGATGGGGATCTGGTTGGAAAATGTTGGAAACAGTACCCACCTCTTGGACTCAAATGTAAGGTTGGTAGCCATTGAATTACTCAAAAAGATACAAGTGGTTACGACATGTAAAACAGCCTCTGGCGATGGGAAGTAGCGATGTTTTGCGGGTGAATGATGGTGAACCATCTATCAATGGATCTTGCAAGGAACCCATATGGCCAGATCCGGAAAACGATGTTCCAGTTACCAACAAATTAAAAAATTCATAAATGGATGCCGGGTATAGAAACAGTTTCAAGATAAGCCATGATAAGCCTACAACTGGATGGAGTCCGGGATCCGGATTCAATTGCCCTGAGGATGGTACCATGTACCTTCACGCCTGGGAAGCTCGGGAGAGTTGTTCCATGCCGGTGCCCGCAAATGTCGGTTTCTAATGGGGGATCCCCAAGTCACCATGGGTTTCAATACTAAAATGGCGCTCTAATTTTGGATAATTTGGGGGCTGAGTTGGAAATCCATTTTGGTCCGGAAAGAAGGTGCCATCCCAGCAATGCCTGGGTACTGAGTTGTTTTGAGGAAACCAATTAGATAGCACCATCGTATTGATCAGAGCACAGCATTAGAGCGTTTTTGGAGCCAAAATATGGAGGTTTCATGAGGTTTCCTGAAATGGGGGTAGCCCCAAAATCATCCATTTTAATAGGATCTCCATTATAAACTATCCATTTGTTCGCATTGGAACCTCCACGAAGGGAAAGCTGCGGTGTTGGGGCAACTCCGATCATGGGGAACCATGGACCGATGAGGCGGTGACCACCTGTGAATACCAGCGGAGTTGGCTCCGAGACGCTTGGGCACATTTTGGGGGGCGAAAATGGTGGACAAGCCTGGGTGCGCTCTGGTAAACGTTTACAGTTTGCGAACTGGAAACTTGCCCATAGAAATAGAGGATTTACCCAGCTAGAAACTGGTGGATCTTTCCATAGTTTCTTGTATGTTTACCAGGCCGGGTACCTTAACCAAGCACTTCTTGAATTCATTGGACTGGTTTACGGGAAAATTTACAGGAACCCCCCCATATTTAATGGTAAAAACCATGGTTTCCGGTTCAGATTTTCCCTTAAACCAATCCAATGATTAATTTAAGCCATCAATCATCCATTGAGCCGCGCATTTTCCAAATCTTTGGGGCTGGATATATTTCATCCTAAGACTCGGCGAAGGGTGAACTCGGTGAAGTTTTGACGGATTTGTGTATTTAGAAGATCAGGGTAGGCAGAAATTAACATGGAAAACGTCGAAAGCTGGTGATGTTTGGCGGAACCATGGGCTTAAAAAATGGTAAAACTACCATGGACATGGAACGACATACGAATTTAGCAAAGTTTAGCAAAGTTTAGTGATCCAACACAGGATCCACAAATCCAAAAAACACCAATTTTCGTATTTGAAGGACCAGTAGCAAAGCCAATGAATTCTCTGGCCGGGTTGTCAAAGTCGATGGGAGGACCTCCAAACGAGGAGGATATTTTAAATTTAAAGGTTAGCCAAGTGATTCGGGAAACCTCAAAGCACTTCAAGTGATTCATGAATTTTCATGATTTTCATGATTTTTCATGATGTTTCATGAATTTTCATGATGTTTCTAGTTTATTTATTTATCATTGTTTGATTCAACAAAGACCTTTCCTCCATGTGGAAGGCAACCGCGACACGGTAACCACCAACAGGGCTCCGGTAGGTCATCTCCTTGTTACGTGAGATGAAGCAGAACGGCATCGCAGTGGAGGGCGAAAGGTGCCGTTCCGCCCGTTCGACAAAACCGCGCCTGGTGTGGTGATGGATTGATTGGGGAATCACTGGGTTGTTTTTGGGGATACCCTCTGGTAAACGTTTACAGTTTGCTATTGAAGCCATGGCCATAGAAATAGTTGATTTACCCATTCACAATGCTGATTTTCCATAGTTTCTTGTATGTTTACCAGAGGGTATCTCCATCATAAAGTGGTTATCACTGGGGGATTTTTTGGATATCCATCCTGGATATCTCCATCATAAATGAATTGTAACATTGATTCATTTGGGTGATAACATTGGGTTATAACTGGGCATTGTTTAATATACGCGGATACAGTTGCTTACAAGTCGATACAACTGGAGAATACATGTGGATTTTTCTATGTAAAACAACTGGGTGTAGTATGTGTGGATACAAGCAACTGTTTAATTAGACACCGTTTATGAGTTGTTTTTGTACAAAAACTAAGTTTGGTGCCCGTTTGAATGAGAAAGACATATGATAAACCAGTGGACAGAATGGGGTGCCTTATTCTTCAGACATCCATTGTTGCGACATTTACTGTAGAGGACAGGAGACCCTCCATTGGACTTATACCAGGTGCAACTCCGAATGCCAAGGATTCAGGTTGCTGATGGTTTTGGGTCAAACTCTTGGAGGATTACACCGGGGTTACCCCAGGAATTTTGGATGATTTTATCGAACAGTTTGAACAACAAGAAAATAACCAACCTAAAAAACACATCCCCCAAAAAAACTGCACCCCTGCCCACTGGTCATGTTTTTATGGTTTCATCTCCGGTCGAGATCCATCTTTTTTTACGGGACAAGCACCAATTAAACTTATGAATATAATACCAACCATGATGAGATTGATAAGACAAAATTCACGCCAATTTAACATGTACAGTATATGAATAATTGTAATAAGGTAGCGTGAATTTTACGATGAACCATGAAATTTCAGTTGTGCATCGTGCGACTTTTTGATATTGCATACCACAGCAATACAATATATATATATACATATTATATATATACATACATACACACAACATATATATATATAGAATATATACATATATATATATATATATGTATATAATTACATAGATCTACATATATCAAATCATATCACATCATATTATACTAGACAACTGATATGATATTAGATTGTATTGTATGATATTGTACTATTTTACATGATATTTTGTGCTATGACATTATTTTTAATACCATATGAATCCATATTGATATTTCGTTACCCTTTGGTTATTCAACGTAACCATAGAAAATCATCATTCATAGGTAAACCATCTATTTCGATTAGGGCCATCTATACCACATTTTCCATGGCTATGTTAGTCATAACCAAATGGTAATATAAACCCGTTTATAGAAACATAGCCATGGAAAATGGCCCATAGAAATAGATGGTTTACCTATTAAAAATGGGTGGATCTTTCCATGGCTATGTTAGTCATAACCAAATGGCAAACCCATGGCTGTTGGTCACCTCTCCCAGGACCTCCCAGCATCTCCAGCCATGGCGCCAGGATACGCTCAGCCTATTGGAACGGCGTCCAAGCTGCCGATGAGGACGACAACGTGGACCAGGCGGCCGTTTTTGAACCGAGGAATGGGTTGATGGTTGGTGGTTTGGAACATGAATTTTATTTTCCCCAATAGTTGGGATGATGATCCAATCTGACTTTCATATTTTTCAGGGGGGTTGAAACCACCAACCAGGTGGATGGATTAGCCTCTGGTTATTAAAAAAGGTGGGATTGTCTGAAAATCACGCTGGTGTCATGTGTCGTGCTGGTGTCTTTTCTTCGGGGGTTGGAAGAATGACTTCATTTACTATTTATACGGGTTTCTGTGAAAATAGGATATATACCACAACTTTTGATGGTTTATGATCATTTTCACTCATTGATTGACTGATCGTGGGGTTTCTTATGGACACTATCACAGTTGATTATCTATACATTTGATTGTCGAATTAAGTCGATTATCTCACCAATTTGGTGTTTTCTTGGTAAATGATTGTAGGCCTAAACTATGGTGCTGAGGTACACCCAATAAGAAATAAACCAACCCCAGGGGTTGATTGGGTATACCCCTAAAACTGGGATGATTTAAGATGACTACCAGATGAAAATTCAGCCCCCCCAACTCAGAAGGGATGAATCAACATCAAGAATGACCAATGTGGGCATGGATACCCCTCCCAAAGTTGTCCCCCTACTATCCAAAAGGGGCTGCTTGGTCAATGTCTGGTAGCATGGAGTCATGGAGTTTTTGAACATCACTTGAAATATCTGAGAACCATCCCCAATAGGAAGAATGAGGACATGTACCAACCCCAGCAAGTGCCTATCAACCACCAACAACCACCAACAAGGGCACCTCTTAAGCAGCTATCATTGGCGGGATGCGTGGTTCACACCAGACATGACCGAGGAGTTCTGCGAAATAGTTCCTTGAGAGTCAAAGAAAAGTGACCCATAGCCATTTTGGTTGATCCATAATATGGTTTTATGAGGGTTTCCATAAATAGGGGTACTGGTACCCCAAATGGATCAAAATGGATGGTTTATAAAGGAAAATTCAACTAAAATAGATGATTTGGGGGTACCCCTATTTTAGGAAATCCCCATATATATATATATAGATAGATAGACACATAAATTACTTGACTGCCAATTTAAGCTGCTCAAATCACCTTCACACCTATTTTGATTGCTGGTGAAATCGGTCAAATGTCCACAATCTCAAATTTGCTCGTGAAATCACTTACGAAGGCATTTCTGCTGGGCATGAAGGTTATGAAATCAGCATCCAAACTTTCCTGCTTAGATCACAAACACTTTTGATCTTTGGTGTCTGCTTGAAGCATAAAAAACCCTCCATCTCTTGATTTTCCACTGCCTTTCCCGAATTGATCCGGCAGGCCTTTGAGCTCTTTGAGCAAATGAGAGAGAACCAGCTGACGCCGGCGCGCAGCGACGTCGCGATGGTCATGGTCTACCGTAGATAATGTGGGGAAAGCTTTCCAAAATGGGCTTTCAAATTTTGGGACTAGAATATGGCTATGGATCAATACCTATACCATTTTTAGGGGGATGAACATCCATAAATCCCAGCTATTTTGAGGTTCACCAGGGGTACAAGGTTTTGACCGATCCCCATAGACCTGTGAATGATTTGCGATGTGAATCTGGTTGTAGATACCCCCTCTGGTCTCGGTTTTTTAGAAGAAATGGTTGGGAAGACCTCCATGGCGTGATGGCCGACAGTTGGGGAATCATCCCAACCGTGGTCTTATCATGACTTATCATGCATGCAACTGGGGTTATAATTGGAGATGTAGTGGTTTTATATGGTTTTTATGGTGGCTCACTCATTTAAGAATCTAACAACTAACAATCACCAAAAAACTCAACACGGTTTTCACTGGAGAATATTTCACAAACATATCACTGGCAAAAACCAGTGGTGACCTGGAATTGCCTGGATGCACTGGGGTCAGTTCTTCCGATTGGCCGACCTGGTCAAAATGCCACGTGAACTCGTCGGATCGTCGCTGGAATCCCAACCTGTTTTTTGTTTTTTTCCAAGAGGAAAGTCATGATCCAAATGATCTAGACATCCACACCCAAATTTATTTTTGTGCCATGTTAATTTTACCCATCATCATTTTCGTTGCTGGTAAAATCACATTTTTTGTTGGTGAAACGGTTAGAATCGTTTAGACCAGTTTTTTGAGGGTTACTTGGCCACATTTCTTACAGTTTTTTTTCGGCAACTCGTGATTCCCTACCCACGCTGCGGCGTCAGGAGCCTTTCATGTACATCACCATGGTGCGCATTTTAGAGAAGCACGGCCAGCCTGGGGCCCCGGAGATAGTGGGTAATATTGGGATAATATTTGGATCATTAATTGGTGGATATTTTCGTTAGTTTTTAGTGAATTAGTGGAACATATTTGGTGAATTTAGTGGATAATATTCCCAATTAGGTGAATTAGTGGATAATAGTGGGATAGTAATGGGATAATTTGGAATCATTATGCTACGAACATGACCATCGGCATATATATTCGCATAATGATCTGGACTTGTTGAAGGCAGAAGATCATTTCTTGTTTTTTTCCATTTGGAAAATCTAAAGCTAAAGGAAGCATTCTATAATTCCATAATAAATTTGGGCAATCCCAGTTTCTATTACAATTTTCTATAATCCACCAGAATAAATTTGGGGGCCATCTTGAGCAAATCCCAGTTTCGAAAGGACAAATGGTGAGAGGGATTTTGGATCCCGGGTCCCATGGATTTCTGTTGGGCTTTTGCCAGGGATCTAAGAAACCACGAAAAGTGTTGATTAGAATTTCTCTTAGCTTCTGCTATGTATATATATAATATGTATAATATATATATATATATAATGTATATACAATATATATATAATATACAATATATATATAATATACAATATATATAATATACAATATATATATAATATTATATATATATATCATATATATATATATATTATACACATTATACATATGTCGTTCCATGTCCATGGTAGTTTTACCATTTTTTAAGCCGTTAAGCCCATGGTTCCGCCAAACATCATTGCCAGCTTTCGACGTTTTGTCGATGGGTCACAGCTCAGGATTCAGTGGAAAATCACCCATGGGATATCCAGCCCCAAGATTTGGATTGCGCGGCTCAATGGATGATTCATGCTTAAATTCAAGAAGTGCTTGGTTGGTACCCTCTGGTAAACATACAAGAAACTATGGAAAATCACCATTGTGAATGGGTAAATCAACTATTTCTATGGCCATGGCTTCAATAGCTACGGTAAATTACCGTGTAAGATGGATGGATGAAGCATGTATGATATAAATGGATGATATAAGATGGATGGATTGGATGATAGATAATAGATGGATGGATGGATGATATAAGATGCATATCTGTTGCTTTTTGAAGACTTGGCATTTTATAAATACCCTACCCTGGATGATCCCGACTTACATAGCATTTTTTTCCACACATAGCACCCCCCAAAAAGATAGAACAGGAAAATCCTACGAGAATAGTGGAGGCAATTTGCCGCCAACGTGGAGGCAATTATACTAGGTATACTGCTATATGATATCCTATTGAACTATATATATATATGGGATGAACTATGATTTACATAGATTTGTATACTAGGTATATGTGTTCCAGTGGGAAAATTTACTTCTGGTCCAGTAGAATTGTATTTTTTGTGGGAGCTTGCTATAATTCCACCAACGCGTGTTCCAACGACTTCCTGGTTCTGCTAAAATTCGATTTGACTTGTGGCAACTCGTCCAAAATAATGGGAGGATCAAGTATACCAAGCTTAGAATTGTTGAAGTCCTTCTTATTTTCATATTTTCTGATATCAATATTTAAGGGGTAGTATTTGGTAATATCAATTGTGAGTTATCTAATATTGATGAGTATGATTGAAAATGTGTTATTGGACCCTTCTTAAATGCCACACGCTTCTATGAGATGATGGTACATCAAACCCTTCTTATAATTGTCATGTAAACTTGAATATTGTATATTCCGATTAAAATCCGACTGCATTCAGATGTTTTGACGTATTTGTTGGTGCTCCTCGGCAAGCAAGAGCATGACACCGATCTGAAAACTTTACATTTTTTTTCGACTTGTTCAGCAAACAACTTCCAGGATTTTGGGGGAAATCAGAATCCGTTTTTTTCCCTGATTTTTTTGGGCATTGACATCTCTTGTAGAAGCGGTTCTCAATTTGTTGACATCACCAATCTCGCGGAGGTTGGCGCGTGCCCACAGCGTGGACACAGATTTTCGGGAGCTGCAGATGAAGGAATTCAGCAAGGTGCAGGGAAAAGCCGGGTCTAATGAGTCTAATGGCAACACCCCATGGTTTTGAGGAATATGTTCGAACAAAAATGTATGATTTAAGGAGGGAATTTGGAATCAGGTTAGATTGCCAGATGGTAAATACTTATGGTCAGTAACCGGGTTAATCCAAACAGAACTGGGCTATTTCATGGGTTACTAGCCACTTTCCATATTCTATTTGCTTTCGAGGACAAAAGAATGTTAAACTCCGGTCATTTTCGGGGCCATCTGCGGGTATTTCAGGGGACCATATCCATGTTCATTGGTTTTTCATGCTTTGCAATCGTTAATGGAATCACCTGTACCATAGATGTAATCATTTGAAGGACCATTTACTATACTCTCTGTTAATTCAACGATGTGCTATGATGTACATGGCCCGTTTCAATGATGTTCAATGATTTACCTCTTAAAAAGGGTGATTTTCCGCAGCAAACGGGTTCCAAATTACCAGTTAGATGTGGATCCAAGATCTTCCAACCTTTGCTCTGGCAGGAGCTGATGATTTATCGCAAGCGCAATGAGTGGCAGGAGGCCCAAATGTCATGTGGGATCATGTGAGGTTGGTACCACAAGTTGGTACCTCCAAAATCTTGGGGAAAACCACCCGAAATCCACATGTTCATCATGCTTAATCATCATTTTTCCTATAAGATCATAGGGAATGGTGGAGCAATCTGGTGGAAAATCCGAATGGTACAGGTGCGGCCCCCTAGATACGATAGCTAAGTTGACCTAACAATAACCAGGCTAACTATGGTTTCTGGGGGATGTAACTATACGGCCAGGCGCTGCGTGTTGCCCGGAAGGTTCAAATGGCGTTTAAACACTATCCTTCAACATGCTCAAACACCTGCGCGCTGCCAGTGTTTTGAGATTTCCCAGACGACGAACCCTAAACCCTAAAACCCCAAACCATCCTAACCCTAAAACCCTAAAACCCTAAACCCCAAACCCAAGCCCTAAACCCTAAAACCTAAGCCGTGAAAACTTTGAAGCCTAAACTAGAAAACGCCGGCGTATACGCAGTATTTTCTGCAATCTCTCCTATCATATATTCGACAACACAACATTTTCATACATTTTCAATGTTACTGTCTGGGCAACACACGGCGTCTGTGGGTAACTATAGTACAGCTATAAACATATCGAACTTGGGCACCTCACCTTGGACGGGGTTGTTTATCAAAAACATGTTGGGGGTTGGATGTGGATACAACATGGGATACCTTTTGATAAATCAACATAGATATGGCAGACATTGGAAAATCTTTGGAACACCCGCCATGAAGATAGATGATTGTTCGAGGAAACCCATGGATTTCCACATGGTTTTTGGGACGGCGATCCGATTTTCCTGACGACTAATCTTTTGCACAATCATTCAGTTGTTGTTCCTAGTCTGACTTGGGTTTCTCTATAACACTTCGTTTCAACATCCAGCGATTCTGGGAAAGTTTTGGACTTTCTCGTTGTTGTTGGTTTGGTTCTCATGATCTCTTGTTTTTTCCCCAATTTTTGTTGGTTAAATCCCGTTTTTGTTGGTGGTTCATCAGTTTTTTTTGTTGAACTCCCGATGCCCTGGGTAGGCCATTGGGGTGCTCGACAAGATCCGTGAGCAGAACTTGACGCGCCGGCCTTGGGCTTCTATGAAACCATCAAAAGTTGGGAAAAATACCGTCTGGTAAACTAACATAACTATGGAAAATCACAATTTTTAATGGGTAAACCCACTATAAATCACCATTTTCAATAGCTATGTAACAAATTACCAGAGGGTACCCAGATTTCACCAAGAAAAACGGGGAATTTCATTTCACCAAGGGAATTTCAGCAACAAAAATGAGGATTTCATCAAACATGGGAGATTTAACCAAAAATTCTTTGGATTCAACCAACGATCATCAGTGATAAACTGGTGATTTCGAAGATGTTTCATGTTGATGCCATTAGATTCGATGATCTCTCGAGGAGAATCGTTTTGGGGTCGAAACAAAACTCACCAACACCCCTTATTTTTGCTTGATATGTTGTTGATATTCCAGTGCCGAAATGTGGTGACATGTTGGGTCCATCAGTTGGTCGTTTCAAGATGTGCCAAAAGATTATCTATTTTCATGGATTGGCTTATTGATCCAACCAATCCATATTTGGCTTTCATTTTGGTAGGGAAAACTGCCAGTCCTGCAAGGCTTGCCAGTTCTATAGCGATTTTCAGGTTTGAGTTAGGAATCGTTCACCAGCGGACTTCGGGTTTTCGTTCGTGGAGCCATGGCGAAATGATCGAAACAAGCCATGGCTCGCCCATAATCCACGGGTTCCGCCCATGATTTCTCTTTGGACATGCTATGAATTGGGGCATAGTTCATTTTCAGACATAGCGAAGTAACAATTTCCAGTTTCCACCCGATTGGGATTTTAGGATGCTTCAAGTGTGTACCCCCTGGTATAGTCTAGGCTGGCGATCATTTTGTCGATGATTTTTTTGAGATTCTCAGAGGGTGTATATATGTATGTATATATATATATACATATGTATCTGTATACATACATGCATAGAACTTAGCAATTATCGTATATTATAGTACTAATTTTCGGAAAGGCTAGAACCCAAATATGTTGTTTTATCCATGTTTTTTATTGTTGAACCACCAACTTTCGGGTTTGTTTTGGGTGTCTGGTAAAAATCACCTCAATTTCCCCATCAAAAAGTGCCATTAAAATCGGGTGAATCCTCCATTTTCAGACACACGTTATGGGCATAGAAAATATCAAGTTGGTGTCACAAAATGTGCCCCGAAAAAAAGTGGGGAAAAAATCAACAGTTGGTGGAACACATCCCCAAATATTTTTCCATGGTCATTTGATTAAAACCCCGGAATTAATCACCAGACAGTCCCATTGAATCACCATTGATAAATCTCCAATCCGAATAACCTAGTGGATCTTCCGAGCAACTGGCTAGCTCTAACAAGTCTTCGCTTCCTTGGAGCTAAGTGGGGTTAATATCCCATTGTCCATGAATAGCTCTGAGGAACATCCAATGGGGTTATCCCATTTTTTATGGGTATATCATAATATCATATTATAACCATTAATGGGGTATATCATGTTTTATGGGGTTATCCCATTTTTTATGGGTATATCCAATATTGTTAAATATAACCCGATTAAGAGCTCAACATCCACTGGGGTGAGGTCCATTTCGATTCGTGGATTATGACCCCACGTTGCGAGGCCCACCCTGAAAGTCTTCAACACCGCCATGAGCGCCTTGCAGCGCCCGGGGCACCTTGGCGTCACCGCCATGAAGACTGGGGACTGGGCACCAGTTGGTTGGCCAACCGACTGACCAGTCGCAAGCAGGTAGGTAGACCTAGACGTTAGTCCTAGACTAACAAAATCTGCACTCCTTGCCACTTTGACAAACTCCATCTGGTTATTTAACAGTTCGCCATGGTATAGATGGCCCATTTATAGATGGTTTACCTATTAAAAATGGGTGGATTTTCCATGGCTATGTTAAATCAGCAGCTCTTCGCTCACCATGGCTAGCCGAGCCTCCGGTGCCTGAGGAAATGGGAGTTGGTGCTTGAGCTGATGGAGGACATGCGTAAGGATGGGCTCCTTGGCTTGTCTCGCCATGGAAAGGGTCAGCACGGGTCACCACTTAGATGATTTTATGATGATTTATCTATGAGCAATGATGATTTATCTATTAACCATGGTGATTTTCCATGGCTATGTTAAATTACCAGAGGGTATCAATCTACCATGGCTTAATCAAACATGTTTTGGTGGAACATATTCAACGATGATTTTCCCATCAAGAAACCTCCATTTTTCATGCCGCCTTCAGACGCTCGCCACGTCTGATGACAGGAGGCTACTCTGGCTGTTGTCTACTGTTATTTACTTGTTATTTGCTGGCACTTCACTGTTATTTGCTATTATTCGTGTTTTTTTTGAAGGGATCACGATCTAACAATATGATTTGTCCGAATATCTAAGATCTGGTTGGACATGATTTGAGATGTCAATTTTTGGGGCATACCTCACTGACCTCACTTTATAAATGAAGCATGTGGATCTCGGCCATCATGACCTTTTTGCAGCCGAGATGGAAGTCGGTGGATGGGATCTACTCGAGCAATGCCCAACATTTCTAGTGTTTGATGGTGAAGACGTGGTGATATCAGTCCTTGGATGGGTTTTGTTGGGAAAATCTTCACCGGAATTTACATCCATGTTTTTACCATGAAGATCATGGTGGTTTCCTGTAAATTTTCCCTTAAACTCCAATGAATCAAGAGATGCTGGGCGTGTGAGACAACGTGGATGGAGTATTCATGCGACTGGATGTTCAGTTCGTTTTGGAGACGTTTTTTTTTTTACATAGCTATGGTATATATTTCCCATTTATGAATGATTTATGATGATGGTCATTTTTTCATGGCTATGTTAAATTACCAGAGGGTATCAATTTATGATGGCTTAATCAAAAACCATTGATCCCTTCCAACATCGCACGGGATCCAACACACTGGTGGCGAAGGAAAGTGGTGGTTTCACGATGGGCACCATCCGGGTAGTCCAGACACACAGAGATGAAAAACATGGGGTTTTGAAGGGTTTCTTCAAAGATAGGCAACAGCAGAGGTTCAATGACTTCCATACTGGGAAATCCAGAAAAATTACGTGTGAATTCTATAAGGAAACACATATTATACTTGTGAATTCTAAAAGGAATAACATTTTACTTTTTTGGGGTTCCTGCAGCCAATTTCGGGTGAATAAAAAAACCACCATCAACAGCTAAATCCGTCGCCTTGCCATACCCGGTACCCCACACAAAGGAGACCCTGCAGAAACCCGACATATTTCTTAAGATAGGGGGCACCCCAACACCTGTTTCGGAAACATGTCGACTTCGAGATGATTTTGGGTCCTCAATTTTTAGGAGATTGGGGGCTTATACTACCCTTTGGGACTATCGTAGTCCACGAACTGAGAAGTATGTGTTTCCACGTGATAGGGCTTTGTGCTACCATGAAACCATATGTATATAAAACCATATGATCAAACCATATGATCAAAAACCATATAGAACTAAGAAGAACTTGGTGAAAACCACAGAAAATCAACACGAACCCAAGATTTTGAGGATCTCCCAGGGGCCCAGGTCAGTTCTGCTTGGGTTTCCAGTGGCTGCCGGCACGGTGGCCGTGGCCGTGAGGCACGTCTTGGACGCCTGTTCCCACACCGTGGCCATCAGCGCCATGATCAGCGCAGGGGAAGTCCAGTGGGGCGACCTGGAGCTGCTGGCGACCAGTTAACCTATATATATAATATATGATATATATATATACACCTATTATGGACTATGGATTATGGATTATCATCTATATATATATATAATATATATATACTAAGGCAGTTTAACTATTACTAGTTATAAGTTACAATATGCCTACTTTAGTCATTAGTACCTAGTGACTATAGACTATAGTAGGTTTAGCTTAAAGATTCTTAAAGATTAATATATGTTGCTAGTGTCATACTAATGCATTACTGGGCTTGATCTTTTTTTAATCATAAAATGGCAAGATTGACTAGCCACCGAACAAGAATCTGTATGGTGTTTGCGGGCGATTTATAGTTCCCATTTCACTCCCATCCAAAAAAAGTTGCAGTCCTTTTTGCCTTGGATGCTGGGAGGATCAACCCACGCATTGTAACCAGTTCAGGTCTGGGCTATTCGAGGTATTTTACGTTTTTTTTTTTCACAAACTTCTAAGAAACGCATCCCCCGAGTCGAGGATTGTTCTCTTTTGGAACTCCAAATTGGGGGTGGTTCCATCTCAGCAACTCCAAGGATTCACCCAACAAACTCATCAGGTGAGCCCTTCACCATGGCCTCCAGTGGATGGGGTCGGCTGGGCCCATGGACCCCGAATTCGGGGTCCCGGTGGACCAGGGTGGGTCCGGGTGGACCAGGCGAGCGGTGCAGCAGTTGGAGATCATGAAGCAGCAAAAAGTGCCACCGACCTCGCTGACCTATGGCCGTCTGATCTATGCCTTGGAGGTGGAGAAGTGATGGGAAAGCACTGGGGCAAAGTGCGGGATGGGAAAGCAGCTACTGGTGATTTAAAGGGTAGTTTAGTAAGTTTAGTATAATCTTCTGCCAAGGAAATATGGAGATGTGATATTCATAGTTAACCGGCTGCCAGCGACGACATATTCAATGGATTGGCTTAAGGGAAAATCTACAGGAAACCATAGATTTTCCCATGAAATAATCATGTTTCCTGTAATTTTTCCCTTTTTCTCGGGGTAGCTAAGAATGGTGGTGAACTCTGGGTCCAGATTTTGGGATAGTTTGATTTCTTGCATAAAATAGTGAGAATACAACACAATTGAGACTAACGCTTCAACTTTGAGGAGGGGAGCAACACACCACCAGAAATAGCCAGCTTTGAAAATCATTCAGGATGTCTCCTAGAATTTTGCAGCCATGCCTGAGGGGTGATCCCGTCGACCAAACCAGGGGTTCTGGGTAGGCAGTGGCTGCAAGACACCCCTGTGATGGGGTTGTACTATCCTGTATTCGTGACCTCACGTTGTGACCAAAGCCTGGAATCATGGTTTTTTTCGAGGAATCATCCTCAAATGGCCGCAAGTTTCAGGTTAGTAAAATATGGGTATGGGTCAATACCTATTAATACCATTTTTAGTGGGATGAACATCCATTTACCAGCTATTTTGATGTTCACCAGGGGTACAAGGTTTTGACACACTGCCATATTGTGATCATCATCCATTCATGGAATTTCTATGAAGCCAAAATTCGTGGGAGTACCCTATGGATGGCACTTCCATGGCAGGAAGCGGGTCACCCTGAGCAAGCCCTGTCACTTGGGTCATGGAAAAAATGGGGCTCTGAAACTTGGGGAAATGAGCTTCCAAGATACGGCAAGTTTGGGGAACACTGATGATTAGCCAGTAGACTTTGGCGTTTTCCTCCAAATTTTCAGACCCAAATGGGGAGAAGTGGCTGATAAGAGATTGGAAGCATTTGGTTGGCAGCTTCAAACTTGTTTTATACACCGTTGGTCGATTTTCCACCCCTAGAATGCACTGACGATCACATTTCAAAACATTACAGCCAACATGTCCAACATGGCAGGGTTCCAACCTTGTTGTGGGTTTGGCTCAACGATTGGCTTCTGGTGGGACATGACAGAATTTTTACCGTTTATTTACACCTCATTTTTACCTTTACCTGCTTGAAGATGCTGAATGCAATCTTTATGAAAAGAATCTCCATTGGTTCCATCCACCATTTCAAGAATCTACTGGCGACTGGCATTTTTTTTTTTTAACGGGGCAGTTATAGACGGATAGTCATGGCCATGGTCGGAAAACCGTGGTGAATGGTACGTGTAGATTGACGGTTTAATCAAATTTAGCCCTCATAGGAGAAACATCAAACCCACCCAACTAACAATCTTTTTTTCTGGTGCCTATCTAAACCTAAATAAACATAACATAACATAACATAACATGACATAACATAACATAACATAGACAACTACATATATCTAATATGTATGTATGTATGTATGTATATATATATATATGTGCATGTATACATGTATATGAAAGGGGGGAGTATCCAAGATAAACCCAAATGCTGTGATATTTCGAAGAACTTGGAGCATTGGGATCCTGAAATTGTGATCGGTGAAGTTAGTGAAGTTCCTGAATGGTTCGGTAGTTTCAGCCATGTTGAAAAAGATGTGAAACCAACTCGATTGATGAAAATCCCAAGGGTCTGTCTCGCAGTGTTTGTCCAAAACTGAGTGGTTTGTTATAGTTTATCACTATTTTGGACCTCTATGACCTCTATATCAATGATAGAGGTATAATGACCTCTATCAATGTGTAATATCAATATTATCAATATAGTTTATCACTATTTTGACCTCTATCAATGCATAAAAACTTCCGTGGTATCCTCAAAACGTCCCCCATTGCGAAGTTTCCTCAAAACGTCTGAGGTATCTCTGGGATGAGCTCAGAGAGAAGCGCATCGAGCCTGACAGGCGGGCGATGGATCTATGGATCTTAAGACCTGAAAACGAACACATGAACATCGAAATGGAAAATCCTATGGAAAATCCAATGAATATCCATCAATATCCTGAAGGAATATGGACAATCCATATGGAATATCCATCAATTTCCGGATTTCCGCCATCAATTTCCATAGCTGTAGTCGTTTCTTTGTTGGAGAAAAGTGCGATCCCATTAAAGAAAGACAGCCGAGAAAAGCAAGTGACTGCGGCTGGTGATGGTTAGAACGTCCTGAAATTATTTTTGAGCCACTTTGTATGGTTGGTGGTTTGGTTCACATCTTTTATATTTTTCCATTCAGTTGGGAATAGTAACCATCTATAACCATCTATAACCATCTATAACCAATACTGCTTGGTGGTTTGGAACCATGGAATTTTATGATTTTCCAGAAACAGTTGGGAACGTCATCATCCCAACTGACCAAAAAAAACCAGGTATGGTTGGATACTCTTCGGATGATCCCTGGGATTTTTGCCCAAGATTTCTCGACCAGCCTGGCAGCCCCGACAAAAATCAGTGTTGATACATCACCAAGAAGTAGAGGAGTGATGGCAATCTAAATTCATCAATGCTCAGATTCAGAGCTCCAATCTATTTTCCAATCTATTTCAGGTATTGGCAATTCTATCTCTTTAAAACCCAAGTTACCTGACTTGTTTTGGGGGGTGTTGGGAGCAACCCTGAAAAAAAATGAAAAAACAGCCAATTTTGTCAACCAGTTTTTTCACCACAAATTCTCATCAAAAACCAACCAAAATCAACGGCTGATTGTTGACAGTTGCATTACCCTTCTCCATTCAGCCGCAGAAATTGATGCCAGGGTGGCTTACGAAGCCGCAATCCGCGCGTTTCGTAGCTGTGGGGGTGACCCAATTTTTCGGGGTTTTCACACATGAAAAGGGACGGGGAAATGAAAATTTAACATGCTTTAACATGGTTTAACCACTGTGATCCATTCTCCGATGACTCTGTGCCTCCTTCTAAAAACCCTGAAAGTTGGGTTTTCCCACTAGAAATGGCCGTTGTCCGGGTTTTCGAGGAGCATCTCTGCAGTGATCCATGGCGTGTTGTTTGCGGGCATCATATTTGCTACACAATTAGATTGCATAGACATCTGAATAAGTTTGGCTGAAACCGTTCTTCTTGGTATATCAAGAAAACAGATTCTCACTCGCAATTGTTCTTGGATTTCTTGCTTCGTTTGCAGTACGGAACACCCAGCTTTTGTTAGTTCACTCACTATCATTCACCATTTTTTATCAAAATAGCTGGTAAATGGATGTTCATCCCCCTAAAAATGGTATTAATAGGTATTGATCCATACCCAGTTCACTCACCATTTTTTTTACCATTTTTTTTTGCTGATCTCACCATTTCGGCGTCGCGGTTTTTGACCCGTTTTCCACGTCGCGTTGACGTCGCGTTGAGGCGAATTCTGGGCCGCCATCCTGGAGCTCTTCGGAGAGATGCAGGCGGTGATCCTGTGATGGACATATGGTGATATACCATGGGATTCATGGGTTAGATTACCATTACTACGGTTTATGATGTTTATGAATATATGATATATGGATATATGATATATGGATATATGATATATGATATATCACTATGGTTTATATTAGCATCACTTGCTCCATGTTCTTTTTTGTTCTGGATCTTTTTTTCGGGAGCATTTGTGAATTATATATACTCATGATTCGGGAAAATTATGATTCATCAATCGAAATCTAGGGCTAGCATGGATAGCCTATTTTTAGACATATCCATATAGACAATTTAACATAGCTATTGAAAATGGCCATTTATAGATGGATTTTCCCATTGAAAATGGTGATTTTCCATAGTTATGTTAGTTTACCAGAGGGTATCCACATAGACAATAATGATGATCATGAAAAGATAACATAACAACGATGCAGAGTTTTATTCGCCATCTCTGAAAATAATGATGGGACGGGACAGGATCAGAATCTTAATAACTTAACAGTATATCAGAATCAGTACACCACTTGTTATATATGTGGGTGATAGATATCTAAGACACATAACGCAAGAGATATGGGTGATATTTCAATGAATATTAATACCAGGATAAATATCTACCAATCTAAACCATAATAAATCAACTGCATGTTAGCATATTCCAGAACTTGAAGATATATGATATATGGGCAATACATGATTTATGTCGATTCATATACTTGGGAGCGAAGAATTTGGGTGACCATATTGATTAAACAACCATAAGTATGCATCGTACAGCAAAGCTATGCTACGAGATATAGCATGTTTTCTTCTTGTCATTGTACGATATATGATTCTATGGTTGATATGTGTTGGAATATCCGATTGATATACGGTTACACTATATATGGTCCCGTCCTCCGTCTCTCCACCCCCCCCCATGGGTTGGGTCCCCAGGTAGCAGCCCCAATTCCCTTGTATTTGCAAGCTATTGGCAGCATTTCTGAGGTCCAGCTGCGTATTTGCTAGGTCTTTGCAGCATTTCTGACTACCAGCCTCGCATTTACTAGATACATGCTACCTTTTAGGCAGCCTACGTAGCACACATACTCCTTCAAAGTACCTACGTGCTACCTATAGTCATATATACATGTGCTATGTATCTACTGTATCTACTTCCTATTTACTACCTGTGTACTCTGACAACACTACCTGTGTTTAACATATACAGTACCTACCATACATGTCAATGATGCCGAGCATACCATACCTATCATATCTTTAATACATACCATACATACCATACATATGAAATGTAATTACCACACCTACGTACACCTACCATACATACAATAGCAAACATACATGCCATACATACCACACCTACCTTACATAGGAAATATTCCATACCCATCATAGTAACCATACATACCATACAGACCATACATACTGTCATATCAAACATACCATACCCAACAGACTTACATACCATACCTACCATCCATACAATACCAACCACTCATGCCATACATACCATACATACCAAACATACCATACTTTCCAAACATGCCATACCAGACCGACCATACACACCATACATACCCAACATACCATACCACACCCCCACCACACCACAGGGGGGGAGGGGAACAGTGCCACACCCCCACCACACCACAGGGGGGGGGAGGGGGAAGATCTCATATGGGGCCAGTATATGGGACCCATCCCATGGGGGTGGGGGGGAGGGCGGGGTGGCAGGGCCTGGTGCATATATACTGTACTTATTTTATGCCATTTTAATTAATTTGATATAATGTTTAATTGATATGATTCTGATATATATATAATATAGTTGATATATGATGAATAGTAATAGACTATTAATTTATATGTTGTGAATAAACATTTTGCTCAAAATTGGTGCGCTCAAAATTAGATGCTTCATATTTCCCCAAATGACCAGCCCAATTGTGGGGGGATTGACTCAGATATGATGGTTGGGATGTGACTAATCTTATTTTCCGCAGATTTGGTTGAATGGTTTGCTACACTCATTTGACTGTTCCGCTTCGACGGGACTCTTCAATGCAACTGAGATGTATTGTACCAAACAAGTACAAACAAAAAATGCTCAACACAATGTGACGGATAAGTATATATCATATCATATTGTATTAATTATACAATTTTTCCTTTTCACATCTTCGAAACTGTGGGACTGGGGTGGATTTTAAATCCTTGCAACTTTTCCCTGGCAACTGGGATTCCTGGATTCCCATAGTTTTACCAATTTTTCATGGTGAAATCCTACATGGGTTGCTGCGCTGCGACCTTTTCAATCCACAGTCGTGTTTGCTACTCAAAAAACCACCACCTTTTCTCGCGGAGTTCGAGGTTTCTGATGGTTTTTTGGATGGTTTTTTGTGCCTTTTCCTTCCATTTTTCGAGGTTTTTGTGCCTTTTTCCACGGTGAAGTCACCGCATTTTTCGGATTTTTTTGAAGGGCATCCGAGCCGCCAGGAGAAGGACAAAGGTCCCTCCAAGGCCTCCAGAGAAAGCGCTTCGCTGGCGGCGGAACGTCGCCCGAGCCGACGACTGGAGGGTTTTTTTTCCGGGGGTTGGTTTAGCTGTTGGGGTTTATGATTCACTATGATTCACTATGTTTAGGATTCAAACAAGAATTTTTAGTCACTATGTCACTATGTTTAGGATTCACTATGTCACTATGTTGGGGTTTACCCTCTGGTAATGACTAACATAGCTATGGAAAACCATAGGAAAATGGTGGTTTAATGGGATTTTATAGTGATTTAATGGGAGTTAACCTCTGGTAATGACTAACATAGCTATTGAACATGACCATAGAAATAGTGGATTTACCCATTGAAAATGGTGGATCTTTCCATGGTTTAGCTGTTGGTAAATTAACAGTTGGACCCTGAAAATTGCATGGTTTTAATGGAAATGAATCTTCCAAGCCCGATGACTGCCAGGGTCTATGTTAATTTACCAGAGGGTAGCTGTTGGGGTTTATGATTCACTATGATTCACTATGATTCACTATGGGGTTGGGGTTCCATATCACAGTTTACCTGTTTATGATTCACTATGATTCACTATGATTCACTATGATTCACTATGATTCACTATGATTCACTATGATTCACTCTGATTCACTATGTTTAGGATTCAAACAACAATTTTTAGTCACTATGTCACTATGATTCACCGGTGTTTATGAAAAAAAGGATCTGCGTGATCTGAAGGGCTATTTTCACAATTACTTCTTGCATCATCGATCACAAATCTCATCTAATTGGGGGATTCATCCCAATGGTATCTGGTTCGAACCTTCAAAACATCGACACGGTGGTAATTAAATTATGACCTTGACAGATTGCGGCCAGCGGGCTCAGCACCCAAACACATTGGGTGTTTTTGTTTTTCTGCTTTTGGATGCTGATTTTGAGGTGGTTTGAAGTTTGATCTTGGTGGATCCAATTTTTGAACAAAATCCTAGCGTCAAAGGCAGACAGCGCCTTGCTGCCTCATGGATCCATTCCTGATTGGGTGGATCTAGCAGATTTGATCACCTCTTCGGGACCGTTGAAGGTTGGCCGAATGTTGGCCCCGGTTCTTGGGCAAACTTCGGGTGTTTGCAGGTTGAAATTGCCGTGTTTTCTTTTTTTAACACGCCAGTTTGAAATAGAAGCGAACTCCAGATCCCTCCTGTAAATTAACATAGATATAGATATGGAAACCCAGCATGACTGCAGATCACTTTCGTAGAAAACCCATGGATTTCCATATCGTTTGTTGATTTACCAGGTGGAATTGAATCCCCCATGGTTGAAGCAAAGCGAATTCCCGAGGTCTGGGTTTGACCGAGAGCGTCATGAAAGGCCTGAATCTTGTGGGTTGTTTGGAAATGGGATATAATATGTATATATATATGTACATGTATTTACACATATATACGCATATTCCCAAAGTGTGCGAGGTATTTTTCTTAGATGCGTGACATGAAATTCATGGGTGTATCCATATGTTATTTGCATGGTTTCACCATTTCTCTTATTTTGGTGGACATGTGAGCTTGGGGTTTGGATCAATGTCGATTTTCTCCAGCAATCCGAGAAAACTGGACCCCAAACTACCGCTCAAACGTTGGCTGTTTTTTGCCCTAAGGACATCAGTGGCTGTGAAGTTCGATAGTTCATTTTTACCAGGGTTAGTTCATCCGAACTGGGATAGGTCATGGATGTACAACAACTACACAGAAACTCAAGATTTCATTGTAGATGTACAACGAAAAGATCGAACGTTACGTTTCCCTGTTTTCACTCTAACCGGGCGAAACTTGGAGAGCTTCGGCAGGTAGTCTCCTCTAATCTCGGTAAAGATTGAAATTTTCCATGAAACCATGTGGAGCTTTCCGTTTTGGAGAAACGGGGTACCCCCAAATTACCCAAGTCATGGATGACTGTGATTTAGTATTAAACCATATTAGTCACCTGTGGTGACTGCGGGATCCCAAGAAGCCGCCCCATGTTTCATTCCCAGTATGCAACTCGTGAAACCGCGGTGTCACCGGCTTCACCGGCTTCACCAGGACGTTGCGGCATCAGTGATGGGGAATCCACAGGGTTTTGAATATCGTTGAAGATTTGATATATCCTGATATGGTTATCATATACCTGATATATCCTGATATATACCTGATATGGTTGTCATTCTCCATCTGGTTGGTGGTTTCAAACATGGCTTTTATTTTCCATAATATATTGGGAATAATCCTTCCCATTGACTTGCATATTTTTCAGAGGGATTGAAACCACCAACCAGAGATATATTCAGGTAATGTGGTTAAGACAATGTCATAAACCACCCATGACTGGGAATGGTAAACATACCGCCTATTTATGGTGATTTTGGGGATGGTTGATGGCATTGTTTTAACCACATTATTAGCCGTCCTTCAACAATTCCGCATGTGTTAACAGATATGGCAAGTGGATATCCAATGGCATCATCCGATTGGGATTGGTAGGAAACCCATGGTGATTTTAGGACAACCAGCCACTTCATTAAGAAAAAAACACCGTGATTTTGTTTTGGATTCAACCATCATGGTTTAATTTGTTTGGGTTGCTATATATAAAATCACGATGTGGTTTATGAATTAAACCGGGTAAAATTATTTTCCACTTTTTTTTTTAAAAAATGCTATGACCATCTAACGAATGACCGACCTGCTTCCTGCACCGCAGTGGAGGTGCCGTGGCGAGCGATGCCGGCATGTTGGAGGCGCGAACGTCGCAATGAGGTTATTTTGGGTTTGGCAAAGTGGTGGTGGTCAAGTTTGAATTGCTGGGTTTAACCATCAAAAATGGTGATTTACTGATATTTACTGTAACTAATGGATATTCAGAAGGGAATATCATGGGAACCATTTCATGAATTATCATCAAACTGCTTGGTGGTTTGAAACATTTAAGCAACATTTTCCCCATGAGTTGGGATGATGATCCAATCTGACGATTCCCATTGGATGGAAAGTCCCATCCCTACTGGTGAAATTTCACATAGTTGGTTTCAATATAGTTAGATGGATCCATATCTTGGCGATCTATGGTTTGCCCAACACTAGTGTAGACAATAGGGTAGACCATCAAATTCGACTTTTTGAATTGGAACAAAGAAGTATGGTTATCCATGGTTGTCCGAAATTTGGAGATTTATCCCAATAAAAGTGGCCATTTCATAGCGATGATTTTGATAAATCATAGGATTTTCCGGTACCCTATTTTCAGACAAAGCCATATCTGGGAGAACTCCATGGACCGGGGGCACATGCAAATCAAGGCTGCAAGGCAACTTCGTTTTTTTTGGGAGCAGGTTTCGATTTGGCCAGGTATTTTTGCCAGAAACGAAAGGTCATGCGGTAACGCCTATGCCATAAATAGCATCTCCCGCATTGGGCTTCACGATTTTTAAGACACACTTCTTTTGTCGAGGATCATGTAGAATATGAGAAATCATCCCCGATTTGGAGTTTATGAAACTGGAATAAATGGGATATTCTCCCAATGTGATGATGTAAAATACATAAAGTGTCCACCAAATGGTTGGTTACTGCAATAAGGTGCCCCCCTCAGCTATAGTTTGGCTTATAAACCCCGTTAACTAGTTCAATATGTCTACCATAAACCCCAGAGATAGCATAGTTATGTAAATCTGTTTACCAACCCAGCAAAGAAACTCCCATTAAATCCCATCAAATACCAAATCACCACTTTTCCAGCTGGATTTTTCATTGCATCACAAATTTTCCATATAAATCGTGAACTTCTCAGCACTTTGGCTAGTTACCATAGGCGCTTTCCTCACTTTCTTGGGATCAGAGGCTGCTGCGACGCCATGAAGAAGAGGTGAGCGGTGCTGTTGGGTCAGGGTCAGGGTATGACTTGGGGTGGAGAAACTTTGGGAACTGAGAAATATGAGAATAGGTGGTTATATGAAATATGCAACTGTTGTTAGTATATATTAATAATGTATGAGATATATACTGATAAATATCTAATATAATGATCATGAACCTTTGAAATAGGTGATTATAGTATGATGATTATAATATTTATGAGATACAATTATATTTATAGCATTGTATAATCATTGTTCATTGATATGAGATAACATAGGTGATTAATGGTGATTATATTATAGTGATTATAACAATTGGAAACCGAATGCCATAAACCTCTACTTGGGGATGGCTGTTTACTATCATTTCTGATTAATTTTGGGACGCTATGACTTCGGGTTTACCACATGAGGTTTGTTGTTTTGGCTATCTCTTGCAGATAACATTTCTAGAACATACCCTCTGGTAAATTAACTTGTGGACCCTGAAACTGACCAATTTATAGTGGAAACTAGTCTTTCAACCCCTATCTGGCAGGGTCTATGTTAATTTACTGGAGGTTATATAAATATATAATTGAGACATATGAAAACATATATCTATTTATTTGCTTATCTATTTATTTCATGAATTTCAGTGTATTGATGGATTTCGACCTTCGAAGCACCTTTTAAACGCGCAACGGTCATCGGTTCTTTCATGAGCGAGTTGACGACCCAAGTCGCTTCACCTTTGGAGGGATAGGAGTGCTATGGAATGTCTCACTGCGACCTCACTGGAACCATGGTTAATAAGGGAAACCATCATTAACCAACCATTATTCACCATTATTCACCATTAATAGTGGTTAATGATACCCTCTGGTTATTTAACATAGCCATGGTATAGATGACCCATTTATAGATGGTTTACCTATTTAAAGTGGTGGATCTTTCCATGGCTATGTTAAATAACCAGATGGTATATATACATATATATATATATATGGAAATATATAGTGTGTATGATTGTATATCCTACGATAGATGGTATATATGGAAATTGTTTATAGTGAATGATAGTGAATGTATGAATATCCCTGCACTAAAGGGAGGTTTATAGCCGGGAACATCATTTTTTTGGGGGAATCGACAGGGACTAAAGTCCATAGGTTCTTTAGGGTTCCTGAAGCAAATCCGACATAAACGTTTACAAACAGATGTGGAAAAACCATGGAGAAAGCCGTTCGAAAGATGATCTACAGTCAGGGTAGGAGTCCACATTGAAGTGTTAGGCCACTCTGGTTGGTTATCAATTTTGTCAAGCCATATAGGTTGTTGGGGTTGTTTAGGTCGGCTGAATCCCTATGACGTCGTATAGGTTTGAACATGCCCCACTGCCACTTACTGCCCAGACCGTGATGAAAGTTGCTTGGCTACTTATCATGAATCTATCCAATCGTTTTAAACCGCCAAATGAACCTACAAGTACGTTCTACTGGATTTAAGAAACATATGTGACCTACATGAACAGGCAAAAATAAACAGGACCAGTAAGTTCTGCGGGGTTTATTTTCCGTACATTAGTGACCTACAGGAATTCAGGCATGACATCATCCCATATACTGGAACCATCATAGATGATAGTTCAAAAAAATAGACCCATATACTGGAATGGTTCCCTATCATATAATGATTAGACGTCTATAAATGATAGAACACATTATAATGGGTCTATTTATAGACCAACTATTAGCAATTGCAGATAGACCCATTTTCCAGGATGTGCTGGCCGATTTGATAAAATCCAGGTGTCCAACTTTGGCAGTGAGACGTGCAGGTGACAGTGACAACTGCAATTGCTTTTGCACTTAAAAACACCGGGTCTTGGGTCTTGAGAGATGTAGAAAACATCTGAAAACCAAGAACTTCTCTGAATAGGGTAGACCTTGTTAGGGCGGTCTTCGTCACTTTCGGCGACTCGCGGAACGAAGAAAGGAGCCAGCTGCCGTGCTATCTCGAAATGGGGGACCAACATGGTAATGTTTAATGGACACTTAAGAATAAAGCCATCCATTGATTGAAATTTGGTGCCAACATCGGAAAAGGTCTTCCCTATCTACGGTTGTGATGATGTACTTGTCTATTTCCTTTTTTTGGGGATTCAAACGCAGACCAAAGAAATATGTCCTGAGAATATCTGAGAATGAGAACTAGATTCTGGGTTTTCTTGTAAGACCACTCCCAACCCTTTTGCATTGAATATCCTCATTCTATGGTCCCAAAGACGTGTAAATTTGCCACTAAACCATGTTTTATTTTTTTTTTCTGGGTGTTTAGTATATGAATGGGGGATGGAATTATGTCACATTTCTAGTGAATCAATCCACGATCTGCGACGCCGTGTCGGGAAGACATCGAAGAACCGCGAAATGCGAAGCGAAATGCGAAGCGAAATGCGAAGCGACATGCGAAGCGAAATGTGGAGAGTACAAGATCGAAGGGCAGTTGAAGATGGCGCTTGAAACACCAAAGCTTCGAACAACCATTTCAAGTTAGACACCGAGACCTCAACTCAAAAGTCTAAATTCCAACTTCAACAATTAATGCGTATATACCATAGACTCGAAACACTTATAGCTTATACAACCTTATCAATCTTATACAATGTAATTTCCAACTGAGGATCTGTCAGAAACTCGAGAAACCTACAAACTCAAGTTGAAGCTTCAAATTTCAATGTTGAATTTTCGTGAAGATCGAAGATCCGAAACCCGCGACGACACACGGCGAGAAACGAGGTGAATATTTTACGAACCGCCAAAACGGGAACTTTTTTAGCCACGCATCCGGTTTGAACATCTTGACTTGAAATCATGCGGAAACTGTTTGAACATGTTCATGGCAACTCCTTCGGAAGGGATGATCCTTCCAAAGCGATGATGGCTTTTACCAAAAGGGTTGAAACTGCCTCGATGACTCTGCCAATGCGTATTGCGGCAAAGGGTATCGCAAAGTCTGCGCAACTACTACGGTCTAAAGCTGAAGAAAACAGCAAAGCCAGCGAGAATCGACCCCTGATGACCACGTCTACGTCCACGCGGCTCTTCGCAAACGTACTTGCGGTCACCCATCCGGGGTGACACCGGTCGTCCCAGCACCAATTTGCAGCAGTCCGGCGTCTGCATCCACTGCTATCCATTGAAGAAAGAGCTTGCAATGAAGGTCGATTCAATGAACCTACAGGCATGCATCAAGCTCTATATCGGACCTTTCTTAAGTGGGATGAACGTTCTTTTACTATCCGTTTTCGGCATTTTCCACGGGGTCTTTGACCCACGCACCCATGAGTCCCAATACATACGATGCCACCATTTTTAATGCGACCCTCTCATGGCAATGGAACTCTCGCAACGTCGATGGGGATGTGGCCGTTGCAGATCAAGCAGATCTTAGCCCCAAACTTTTGGCACGCCACCTTTACCCCTACTATCTGCATAATGTCTGGCCCTCAGCGACCCAAATTTTTGGATTTGTCTCAAGAATTTTGGAACCCCTAAAATCCTATGGAGTTTGGTGGTTACGTGAATTTCCCCATTGAACAATTGGAAAAATTCGGGACGTCCCCCATTTTGAGACAAAGCCAAGTTGTTTTTGGAGGCAAGTGGCGTTGCAGAGACTGCAGGGCTCATGTTGGAGTCATAGAGAGTAGGGCAGGGTACACCCCGAAAGTGAGCTGTTGATTATAGTCATCATGACTTCGCTTCTGGGAAATCCAACATGGCCATGGACAATTATGATCTTAACAGGTAAAACAAATCTACAAACGATCTACAAACGGGCCATTTTCATCCATTTTCCGTATCTATATGTTAGATTACCAAAGGGTGGCCATGCCTTGTTTCATCCCGGGTGACCAGTTGATTGGCACATTTTTTGCTGCGTCACACAATAATCTCTGGCACATTTGAAAGAAAAACACACATTTTTAAATGTATGTAAAAGGCACATTTTTTTTTGCATATCCGATTCCATTGTAATTTGCACATGTGAACTGTTCATATTGATTTGTCGTTTCATAGCTGTCTCGAACGCATCTGTTGATACACAAAAAGATGCTTTTGTGTTTGAATTTTGACCCCTAGCTGCCAGGTGAGGGTCTCTAACTCTAGATCTCAACAAAATATCCCGAAAAAGAACGAACAACCCACACGTGCATCAAGCGGGATTATCTTCCCGAGGAGCAACGTGGAAACCACCGATTAGATGCTGGCAGAGACTATAAATCGCATTTTTTTCCCGCCCATGGTTGGCCATGCTTGACTGAGAAACAACTTAACATCGCGACGCAAATGGGAGGATACTGTCGTCCAAATGATCGCTGTCAAGAATGTACCAGCTACCCTTGTGAAGCAATTCAGCACAGCCTGGGTCACAGCATGAATCCCATGTTCATCACCGCAGCACGTCATCGCCAGCGTCTTGGCCATCCTCATGTATACGATTGTGCTGTCGAATTGCGCTTGTTCTAGGATGTTTACATCTTGAAAAACATGTAGAAACAATGCAAAAAAAAATGGACTTGGAACATGCAAATCTGAAAGAGGCACACATGAGAATTGCAGAAAAAATGGGACAGCAAAGTGCAAGTTGAAAAGAGGCAAAAATTGCAAATGGAGTAAAGATAGAAAGAGCAAATGCAACTTGGAAGGGGGCACATTTGACAAATGAAGAATACATGGAAGGGACCAACCAGGGAAAAGGGAAAGTGCCAAATGCAGCGCACATGGAAACAACAAATTAGCCTGGACAAGGTAGTAAAACCTGCGCAGAAGACACAGGTGACCAGCCGAAAGGGAAGGTCCCCGATCCGAATTGGGGACCTCCAAAACTGGATGTTTTTTGAAAGAATTCGCCAAAAACTGAGGTAAAAAACAACAAAAAATTAAAACCAAAAAAACAAAAAACAACAAAACAAACAAACAAAAAAAACACAACAAAACAAATGGGCCCTCAGTAGGGTCATCCCCTGGGAAATGGGCCCCCACTTTCCCGAAAAGCAGCGTTTGGGACTTGGGCTGGGGGGCTGTGCCAACCACCAACCTTTTCCTGAAAATATATGTGCCCATTCAAGTGTTGATGCCAGGACAGAAACCCAAACCGAACTGAAATTCATTCTTACACATACTGCATGTGAGGCAAATTCAAAAACCCGAATGGATGAAAACCAGGCAGCCGAGACTGCATATCCTGCACGCCCCTTAAATGTGAATCAAGCGGGTGTCCAAAGCATTTTCGGCAATTTGCGTTTTTAAATTTACAGTATATTACTTTTGGTTTAAATTTGTTTTGCATTGCGTTTTTGTATTTGCATTTTGTGTGCATTTATAATTTCCGTTTTTTTTTTGCATTTTCTTTCTGCAGTTGCTTTTTGTTTGCATTTTCAAGATCATTTTTTTTTGCATTACATGCTGCGTTTTTTCAATGTTCAAAATTTTTAAGACAATCCCACAAGGGGCCGACACAAGTATACGACCTTTCTATGGCGAGTTTGCCAGCTCTGTGTGTCGTGTGTCCCACCGGACCCGAACCCTATGGCGAAATTGTTAGCATTGTGTGCCTCACCGGGCCCAAACTATGTGGCGAGTGTGCCTGAGTTCGCTAATTTTCTGAGCCTTGCCACTTTTCTGGGCAATGCCAAACGCAGCCCATGACGATGGGCATGAACACCATGCCGGATACAATACAATGCCAGAAAAAAGGCCAAACCAAATTTCAAGCAGAATGCTACACACTGTGCGTCAAAGAAATTCAAGGAATATGGAAAAATGGAGATTAGAACGTCAAACAAAAACAACATGTATGTCAGGCATCGCTGACTGCAATGCCAGACGGAATTTCAGAATGGATTTCAGATAAACAAATGGAATAAATGCGGGACAGAATGCCAAATCAAGTGACGGATGGAATGCCAGACGAATGTCGGGAAAAATGCAGGATAACATAAGCGATGGCGGGAGAGGGATCAAAAAAAAACAAATAAGGATCAAAAAAAAACAAATAAGGATCAAAAAAAAAAAATAGGGATCAAAAAAAACAAAATCCAGAAAACATGAGAAAACACAAGGAAACTATCACGAAATGAAGGCAAAACCCATGGATCAAAAAAAACAAAATCAGGAAAGGAAAGAAAGAAAAAAAGAAAGAAAGAAAAAAAGAAAGACAGAAGTAACCTTCTCTTGAAAAATGAAAGGACAGCTTCCTTCTCTTGACCCCCCCACCCGCTTTTATTTTTTAGCCGGCTCCCCTTGCTACCTACTATTCTGTTTTTTTCACAAGCATCATCGTTGTTTATTTGGACTCATTTAATCTTGATTGATATCCATCGCGACTTGTGCCTATGTACTTCTTTCTTGGTACGCATTGCGGGGGGAGGCGCTGCGCCCTCCCCCCTGCACCCCCCCACCCGTTTTTTTTTAATCGGTTCCCCTTGCTACCTACTATTCTTTTTGTTTTTCATAAGCATCACCGGTTATTTGGGTTCATTTTATCTTTATTGATATCCATCGAGATTTGTGCCTATGTACTTCTTTCTTGGTACGCATTGCGGGGGGAGGCGCTGCGCCCTTGTTTTTGTTTCGACCTAATACCTACATAGGTACATGCATGAGTATTGAGCACATTTATATGCGCCCCTCAAGGCTCAAGAAAGAGGTATATAGAGTAACCCTGTAGACAAGCACTGACCGGCAACAGGCTGAGAGTAAAAGAGTGCTGTCATTGGGGAAGACGCCTTAGCTGATCTTGAAGTAGACGCTAGGGCCCCTCTTCAAGTGGTAGCGGAGCAGTGATCCCTCATTGAGGGTGAGCTCCAGGTAGAGCCCAAGCAATGGCAAGCCATGGCTATGATGATGATGACTTCGACATTGTCGATGCAAATGAATGGAACCAATATGACTCTTATGCAATGAGAAGAGCACCCCAGCA